TTATTGCTAATAAGGTTATTTGAAATTTCAGTCTATTCAAACAAACTCAAAAAATACTACTGGTCTCTCTGTCAATGACAGTTTTTATTGTCTCTTCAAAGATTCATATTGTGCGAGTCTTATTAGGTTTTTGCCATCACCGGCTCAGTTTTTTTTCAGTATAATTGATTTAAATTTTTCTAAATTTCGTTTTTTAATTCGGTACAAATACATGAATAAGACTTGTTTCGAAGGTTTATTTCACATGCATAATCAGCCACAAACTCCACCATAAAATGTTTAGGTATGAAAAATAAGAAGCCTCATTTTGATACGGAGTTTTTGAGTAACTCTGAAAATTCATTTCACAGAATTCTTGAAAACGTCGGGCAACTTCAGCCATTGTAGGATTATAAATGGGAGACTTTACAATAACGAAATGACATCAGAAACTCATACGAAAAATACGAATTGCTAATTTAACGCTAGTACTGTACAATTAAAATGCACCATGCATAATCTTATGCTTAAGCTTATTTCATGTTTGAAATTCTTATTACTTGTGTTTATGTATTGTTCTTCAGCTTTCGTAGAAAAACAGTATTTAGTGCATGCTTTATTTGTACTTCAAACAATGAAAGTACTTGCATGGAAAAATACTTTATATACGGAAAAAAATGGACAGGTAAGCAGCAATGGTCTCGGTATTGGATAAGCTTGGATAATATGTTTATTAATGAGTGCATTCGGCCAAGATAAAGCGCTGCACTGCTGGACTGGTTTACGAAACTTGTCCTATAATTTATCATGGATAAACTTCAAAAATATATTGACATTGTTGATATGTACTTGAAAAAGGCCACCGAGCTGCTCGAAACGTCAGTACTCAGTCAATCCAATGTATGTGGTTTAATTTACAAATAATAAAATGTCGCGTGGAAGTAGGTCTGAAAGGTAAGTCAAAAATTATTTGTTTCCAAATTCCTTGATATTTTTCGGGCGTATTCATACGGTTTGTTATGCCATAATTTGCATTAATGTTGTATTTAGTCCACAAGCTCATTTATTATTCTTTGGACTGACTGTGACCATTTCCAGTTTTATGTGAGTCAGGAATTCCACAGTTTCAATATACAGTGCTTTTCTTTAATGTCCCCCTCCCCTTTGATTTTTTGAACGGATCAATTACTTGTCTGGAGTAGTGTGGGGGAGCACCATCTTCCTGGAATACAATATCAGTATCGAATTCATTAGGATTCGCTTCGACGATTCGGTGATTATTGGGTCAATAGTATTTTCCAGCATATCCAAATTCAAGCTTGGTCGATGAATAGAGGGCCCACAATATAATTTTCCAATATCCCAGACCAAACGTTAATTTTTTGTGGATATTGAGTATGAGTTTCCCGGAAGACGTGAGGATTGGTGTCACTCCAATAACGACAATTTTCTCTATGCACATTACCGTTGAGAAAAATGTACATTCATCACTAAAACAAATATTTTGGATATAGGTAAGATGCCGTGCAATGGTTTTCGTCATAGTCTCGCAGAATTCTGTTCTTCAATCAGGGTCATCTTCAGTTAGCTGATGTACCATTTGAATTTTGTATGGATGATACTTATTCTTTTTCAAAAGTCTCCATACAATACAAGGACAAACCACACATACATTCGCGATGGAGGAAGTAGACTGTTGGGGATTTACTATGATCTCACCAATTATTTGAACTTGCTTTTCTTCCGGGATGGTCGGATGGCATGGGGGCATTTAGTTGTTTACAGCAGAAGCTGTAAATTTAGATACAAGTTCCCTTAAATATTTTCTACAGATAGGACGATTTGGGAAACGATCATTAAAAATCCTTTCGGTCTCGTGAAAGTTACGCGTCGCACCATAAATAAAAATCGCTTCGATTTTTCTTCCAATGGATGAGAATTGACCATTTTAAAAATAGTTCAAACAGTATCTAGCACTAAAACCGAAAACTAAATAAGAAAATTTGAACTGTACAATGATGTTTGTTTTCGTACTGATATTGTTGTAACTGTTAACAAAAAATAACAAAACAAGTTTTTATCGCTGCTGCTGTGGATACGGCATGTTAGTGGGTCTGTATTCAGGTAATTATTAAATGTTCCTCCATTTTGTAGTATTTGTAGTATTCTAGGGCTATGAAGTACACGTCAGGAGCTTCAAAATGATGTACCACAAGACCCCCGTTTTCATATAATTTTTTGTCCAAGATGGCGCCCAGCGGCCATCTTGACATTTTCATCTGTCAATTTTACTCTGAAATATGGTATCCACGGATCAATTTCATTACTTTAGGTTTTAATTTTTTGAATTGATCCGTTCAAAAAATCAAAGGGGAGGGGGTATTAAAGAAAAGCACTGTATAACCGAACTTTTTTTTGAATATTTGTTTTATTCCATGTTATTACAAAATAATAGTTATACCAAGAGAAGGCAGACAAGGCGAATGAAATAAGAGAGCGGTAGAGGAGTAAGCGAAAACATGGCGTCCACAAAATGACATCGAAAGATAAATGCGGTGTTCCCAGATAGATCATCCTTTTTTTATGGAGTCTTTGTCCATTACTTGTAGCAAAAGCATTTTTTAATCAAATTTGCTTCTGTTTGTAAACGTATCCACGGTGGTAGGATATTTATCATTTATATGCAGTCTACGAAATATACATGTTTTTCATCCAATGTGTAGGTACAATATATATGCAAGTGTATCGACCGACACCGGTATTACGTATCTTGAAAAGTGACATTTTGTCGGTTTCCTCACATGTTCTACGTTTTTTTTAAGATGGCAAATTAGCACTAGCTGTTTTACACTTGTTGTGAACTCGTTTTGTAGCTGTACGTGTGGCCTAAACGTCATGGTGCTCCACAGCTATCAATGTTTGGCTCTTATGTGATGTAACATCTGCTTCAGAGATGGCATTATTAGAGGAGATGGAGCTGTAAGTTGTATACTATAGCTGGGAAACGTCAATGCATAGGTGCAGTGAGGATTTGTGTGCTAGTTACCTGTGTTGATGATAATTCCATTGGTTTCTTGTCCCAAATACACTTACTTGAGATGCATTTAATGCTAGAAATTAGTTGCGACATAAGAAAAGAAAATCTCTGGTTGGTCAAATATATTACAAGTTACAGGTGAGGAAATATGATACAGATAGGAATATTTATGAAACGTGAAAAAGTTATTACTTAACCTCTCTACAGAAAGAACAACTTATAAATAACCCGTCGGGCACAGCTAATTGATATACGTCATTGGCAACATATTCAGTAATATTTTTCTCACATAGCAAATGGCACTGATTTTATACACATACAGACCAATACACATAATCATCCAGATGTGATCGTGCTACTCAGCCACCCTATTTTCTTTCACATCTTCTCAGAGATAAACACTCAGTTTACTCGGCTTTCTGTAACCAGCAAGCAACCTACAAAGCATATCGTGTCGTAGAGTCATTTCTTCACAGATTGTCGCTTTTGATGGCGCTCACAGCTATCATAGCGGGCATACGTGGAATGAACTATTTGCACACCAAAAACTACCTATAACGCAAGATGATATTCAGTCGTTTTTTACATAATACCACCTGCCGAGCAGTCACAAAAGATAGCCGACATAACAATATTCTTTCACGTTAATAAGTGGTAAATAGTATTCAGAGAAGCTTTTTTAGTTATTAGATCGACTATTCATGTTTCAGCAAACGCGACGATCAAAAATGCGTGCTAAATCAAACATTTTTTAAAAGTGTGAATCATATTTTGGAAATGAATGTAGGAAATAAATAAGACAGCTGTTATAAAATATAGCTAGCAGCAGGTCACAGCAAAACGATAAAACGACTGGAATTACTTTCATACATCCATCTCCCTCACACATACGAGTACATGTGCAATAGGCCTCTATGCGTGGACTTTTGACTGTGTAAGCTCACAGACATAAGTACATTTTTCTGTTGTTTTCTTATACGTAACAAGCAAAAACTGTATCCCGTTCAGCTCAGCCTAGTAGGGAATATGCATGTTTTTTTTTGTCGTTTTTCGATTATCTACGTTAATATAATACGCATATTTCATTAATGGAAATTTCTATTTTTTTAATCAAAGATGGAAAAGTGCAATGCCAATGACATTGATTTAATCGCCGTATTTTTCACGCGCTTTACAGTGACGTCATAACCCATAATTTGTGATTTTATTTTATGTTTGGATAGTTTGTACTCGTAGTCGAGATTTGTAAAGGTTCTGACGGCGTTTTGGTGGCGAAATTCTCTTGGTGGCCACAAAACATACACTGACTGGTATCAGCATGTCCGCTGTCAAATGGTGTTGATTTCGGCACTTTTGAAACTGATCGAACTGATAGTTTGCCGATCAATGACAGCAGCGGAGGATTGGATGCTCACTTGCCGATAGCGTGACGTCATGCCAGCTTACCGTTTTTATATTTTAAATTTACCGCGTTCCTTTCGCCTTTTTTTTATTAATACTCGTAATTTTATAGCCCATAAGTGTAAAATACGGTCGAAGGTGGCTTTCTGTGGCAATATATACTGTAAATAAAAATAAGTACCCAATATCTGAATCACATGTATCTCTATTGTAGCATGTAGCATCTTGTGTCAGTTTGGCAACATTGCCTCAGGAGTTGTCGAGCCATCTATGAGCGAAAGGTCAAACTAGAAGCAGCCCGCTACTAGTAAAGTCCAAGAGCCGACCGTAAATGTTTGGCTTATATCACGTACCTCCTATATGTTAAAAACTAGTCAAATCTTGCGTATTTTGATGCTCCGGTCAACATTTAACCAGGCAAGTTTGGTATCAAAATACCTTAGAATTGATTAGTGTTTATCATATTAGCACAAGATGTATTAAAAAATGCGAATGATAAGACATTCCACAAAGTGGCATAACTACTATTTGTTAATATCATTGCAAATTATTAAAATTTACTACCTAATTTATATGTTTTCAGGCTTGGTTCACACGGCAGCAACTCCTTCTAGTGGTGCTGTTCGTCAATGTCACCCTGGCCATCATGTTCTTCAAGCTGTTGACATAGTACAGGCTGGGCGTCGATAGACGCGCCCCCTATCACCCACTTAGATAATTTTTCATGAAAACATTATGGAAACGACATTTTTGTATCTTGTGCGACTAAGGACACTTTTTGCGGCCGACATGCTTGTTATTGAAGACTTGACGCGCCGCGCACGCTGTCACGCTTTTAACGACGCTCGCTGATGTGATTGGAAGATTTTTGATTGTCCGAAGATGTGGAAGAATTTGAGGAAGATGTCTGCTCATAAGAAGTAAGTACAGGAAAACGGAGCTTAGATGAAATCGAAAAAAGTACAATCGTAACGCCAAATTCAAACGATGCCGCTTAAGATATGACCACTGATACTTAAAGGTTAAGCTGATCGCCATCATAACGATGAATTGATAATGTTCTAGGCCGATGTCCTCAAATTAACACTTTCGTTACTTTTCAAACTAAGTCATGACCTTGAAAGCTATTTTTCACGATTTCAACACGTTTTAGCATCTGTTGCTTAGAAAGTGCTACAGGTATGTTTGGGTCAAGCGTGTACGGTTTTCAATAACGAATCTGGTAAAGCCTACTTACACCAAACACCTATGAAAATTAATTTCTTTTATCTATACTACTACTGTTCGGGATGATCATGAAAAATCAGGTTTAGCGAACCACTGGTCGATCGCGGTCGTCGTATTTTTCACCCACTTGCGCACAATGTCTTGAGTGTGCACTCGTGTTCTCTCGCCAGAGTCCGTGTGGCGTCTTCCCCTTTCTACTGTATCCTCTTATAGCCACATGTTACCCTTCGGTGTTTAGGTCTTAGATCTTCGTGGTGATTTAACTATAAAAAATAGTCCTTTTCATACCTATAGTTCACTGTCTGAGAATTTTACCAATACAAAATGTACGAAGTACACAATAAGAAATGCAATAAATCAGACACAAAAAAGCGTGAACAACAGAATACAGCCAAAGCACAGATAAGCAGCTGTTATTTGTTGAAAAATAGAGCTTTTTTATTTAGTTTGTTTATTAGTTTTTATTTTGTATGTAGTTGTTCTTCTTGAGAATTCTCTATCGCATCACTTCTGAGGGGGCTGAGGAAAATAGTGACTGGCCTAAGGAGGCCTGTCAAATTTGACCTATTCTATACTGTACAAAAATAGTTTCAAGATGATATACTGAATGTTTAAAAAATTAAAATTACAATTCGTCTATTCTTCTAGTATCTAAACTTTAAAATCGCAAATATTATTTTGAAATCACCAATTTACTAATATCACCAAAAACTGTCGAAAATTCCAACTTTGTAGTGATAGCTTTTTTCTACATTTCAAGTGTGCTAAACAAGAGGTCTTAAGCTCAGAAATTTGGAAGGACACATGAAGAGATGACATAGAAAATTGAAAAGGAATCATCCAGTGAAAGCCCAGGTGTTAACACAAATTATGAGACTGACTTATCTGAAGCGCACCTGAACGTAACCTCTCAGTCACTTCCCAGATTTCAAATAGTTCATTAAAGTTGCCTAAAGGTTAATTAATACGAAATCAATAAAAAATGGAGGTGACTGATAGGCAATGTTTACAGAATAAAAAATTTGTGTTAATAGAAGGAATAAAAATCAGCTAACATTGCCGTCTTTGACGTGATTGTCTAATACCTACTTGTAACAGCTGTCGACCAGCAGGTCATAAATGCCTGGGCAGGTGGCGACAAGCGAATAGAAACGACAAAGGAATGCTCATGTTTGTTTTGACTCCGACTAACTGAGGTTTATATACACTTTAGTTGGTATTGCCATTAGCCTTGACGTCTGGATCAGTCTGGTTATGGAGAAATATTCTGTAAACTTTGCTAACAAGTTATGAGAAGGTGAGATTTATATATTTGTATTTTATCCATGTCAGTGCAGCTCGTTTCATTCACATATTCGTATTCATGATGCGTGATATTTAATATATTGTTGGATAGGCAGTGTTTTGTCAATTTTGGGAACATTTTTGCTGTTGGATTTTTTGTGAGATTTTATCTGATGTTCTGTCGGTGCTTAGTTTGTTGCTGTTCTAGCATTTTATATTATATTTATATATATTTCTGTACCTACTAATAACCAAAATCTATTCTTGTTACACATTTAAATAGTATCTTGTACGGAAACTATGAGGAGTTTAAAAATAGATTCGGTATGTTTTGCCTTCGTTCAATTAAAATGAAAAAACATCAACCATTCTCAAAATCTAGTGTATTGAAATTTGTTTGAGGATTTTACAAATTTTGTCAAAGCCAACTTGCTGCATGGGTGCAACCAGAAGCAATAAGATACAATTTCACTCCAGAAAAATGTATTTCTATTATGTTTCAAAATAAAGAGCAACGCGGGGTATTTTTTCGTGTTTCGTTTTTAGCATTACAGAGATTAATCTTCGATTTTTCTCCTTCCTGAAACAGCGCCCAATCCATCTAGATTTTTCTACACAAGTATCTCATGCATTCCCTAGACCATCGATGAATCAGCTATTCGCCTAAAAGACCTAGGCCTTTTGACATATATTGTCTAGGAATTACATATTTTATCAATAATATATTATAGTTACACCATATACATGTATAGTTAGGCCCTTGATACAAACAATTTATTATTAAGCCTATGATAATGTGATGTAAATAATTGTTGAAACTTAATATTTTATACGTTTGTTAATTTTACCTAGTTTTTGTCGAGCTAGAACAACAACAAATTAGGTTCGAAATATTATAAATTATTTATTGTAATTGTTATAGTATAGAAAAAATATGTTTTAGCTTATAGATTGTATATCTCCGTATTCGTACATCAAAAAACCTATGTGAGGAAAACGTTTGTGGTAAATTATTCATAAAAAAACGTATTTCAAAAAGACCACCCGTCAATCAGCCGGAATACGAAGTATTCTCAGGACTACCATCAGTGGCGTGCTATGCAAAAATGTATAAATAAAACAGGCTGTACTGAATCTATTTGCTTTCAGTTGTTGTGACCATAACCAACCGTACACAATGTTGCTTGATGCTTGTTAGCAATCATCACTACAATATAGGTCTAGTCTTGGAAACTGAAAGTTATAGTCATCTTAACCAGATACATATCAACATCAAAACATAAAAAACTATAGAGTTAAATCATACTTAGGCTTTTCGGCCAAATCTGATAAAACATTATCAATTCTATTAGGCGCATAAGGCTTGAACGTTACACAAATTTTAATAGTGAGCCATGTGAAATAGATTGAGGAAGGTCACAACCTTGCACCTCTTTATTCTACGAGGTCATAGCATAAAATTTGTGAAAAATTATGGAAAATGAAAAAAGTCTAGTTGGAAAACATCTTCATATTTAGTTAGCTATTCACAAGTTGAGTCTGTACGTGAAACATTTCAGTACAAACATTTTCTTTGCAGACGTTTTTTGATCTTTTAAAATAAATTGGAGATCCTTTGAGAAGAATTTGAGAGGATACAGCAAATATTTTTGTTTTGTATTTGTAGGTTTTTAATAGGTACATATCATGCAGCTATTTTCTCCTCATCACTCTACAACATAAACGCACAACTTTAGGATACCTAAATAAGAAAATATTTTGTTTATGATATGTAGATAGACATGCAGAACTCATGTTTATTTTTATGTAAACAATTGTCATATTTACGTTTTGGAGTTCAAAGATAGGATTTTCCACTATAGAAAACAGTCAGATAATATGTAGAACATAAAACTAAAGAGCCAGACCTTAAAAATTAATAGATTTTAGCTCTGGTTTTAAGGGAGGATGAGGACAATAATATATGGTTTCTCATAGCCAATAACAATAAAGTACATATATATCATTAAAAAGGCCGTTTCGCATAAAATAGGAAATACTATGGTACAGTTGTTTTTACGATCGGGGCATTGCCGTCTCAAAGGTTAACAACTTTGAGGATGTTCTGTCGCTGCCAGTTAATTATTTGAATGTATGGCATTTATTTTGACATCATTTCGAAACATTGTTATTTGAATTTGCTACCTGATTAGAGATACATTTTTTACATCAATCAGAAAACGTAAATAATATCAGACTAAAACAATGATATCTTGGATTTCTATAAGTACTGACCTTTCATGAATTGGACACTGTCGCTTCATAAAACAACACAAAACATACTTTGTATACCTCTTACACTTACTGTGTACTACACTTGTTTTTCAAAATGAGCTTCGTTTTCGACTGAAAACAGATTTTTTTTATTTTTTGTCGAAAAGTAAGCTAGATCGGCAAAAAGTGATAGAATAATAATTATACTTCAAATTTTAAATAGTTCAATCAAATGATCATCATATCTAAGATCAGTTGAGTCTTTCTGTGGGGCCCACGTTTTTGACAAGTTTCATTTACTTAAATCCGAACAATTTTCAATATATTTGACAAAAAACAATTTCTGGGAATTATTGAACGGTATTTTGAAAACGACACGTTTCTCGAAATATCTTCATATGAAGTTTTTTTACTGAACCCAAAAATAGACTGTAAAAATCCAGTATATCTGGTCTATTTTATAAAATTTTAACGAGAGATCCTTTGTTTTCTTATAAATTAGCCCCACCCAATTTCTTTCTTGGTGTATATGCAACAACAGTTTCGGATGGACTTTTGATCGAATCATTTTGGAAACTACAATAAATAGCCTAATAACATGTGAAGATTAAGTTTCTAGAAAAAAGGTACTTTAAGCTGACAACAAATTGACAACTCCGACAAAATATCTAACCTGCTTCCTGACAACTGAACAGCATTGCGCTAGTTCTCAGCTAATATGGCTTGACATAACTCCCTGTATTATATATACTCGATTTTTCCAAACATCTCCTTTAATACGACTCCAACATTCTGTATGAAACCCAGTGTTATAAAATTCACTCAATAACGGCCTTTGACAGTTGGCATTTTAATGATTGAGAATCATATGAAACGAAGAAACCAACCACTTTCCGGTTGATCGGTATTTCACTACAAACAGCATGCTAATATTGCGGTAGTTCTCAGCTAATATGCCTTGACATAACGCTATAAATTACGCATAGGTACCCGATTTTTCCAAACATCTGCTCTAATACGTCTCTGACATCGGACTAAAAAACCTAAAATTACAGCATACATCTCAAAACGGGCAACGCATTCGCACTTTTTACCTTAATAACTCTTTTTCTATTTGAAGAGGTCTATTTAACGGTAATCCACTTATTGCTATTGGTTTGGGTCGAGAATATCCATTCTCTTTTTTTGATTATACTTATGACTGTAATCTCTCTTGGAGGACAAACCTAATCTTTGGAATGATTGCAGATTAGGTTATCCATACTTTTGTGGTCGAAAAATATATTTGTCTGGGAACATACGACAGTAGCTTCTATTCGTAACACGTTTAAAATTATTGTCAACATTTTTTCATAAAAGAAGCCTTCAAAAATTGTTTTGGAAATGGGTGTGCACTAGCTTTCAGGTTCTCAATAATTTTTATGTTTTTAATTATAGCTCATATGTACTTCGATCACGAAAGTCACATACGTAGTAACTCTTTTTTTTGTTAAATTTGCTGAACCAGTTGTTATGACATGAAAGGATGAATATGATATTCATTACAAAGTTTGACATGTATAATATATAGCTTTATATATGTATAAGCTTGAATGCTGTCTATTAGTCTATATCTTGTCATCTGAAACTTTTTTACATGAGAATATTAGGCATTTGTACTAGACTGTACTCATCTTAGATCAAATTTCAGTAATTTTTATACCACCAACATCTAGAGGGAGTGCCTCCTAGTTGAAAGCAGAAAGTTCTCGGGACGTATGGCAGAAATTCAATAAAAAATAAATACCTACTTATGTAGAACCGTAAAAGCAGCGGTAGGTTAAGTAGTTACTTTTCCTCTAGGTCACACATATTTGGAAAAAAATGTTCTCAATTTGTATCCTATGGTACCAAATGCACAAGGAACACAGCAATCACATGCACAAATTGATAAAAATACATCAATAGTCTATAAATTTTACGCCCGATTTTATGTGATTGACTATAGATATCTATGAATATTGTCTACTTTCACTAGGAGCATTCTCGTATCAGTTTACCAGATACATAGTGAGCAAAATAGTGAGTTAAGCTAGAGTTCGACTGAAGATTTATAACCAAAAGCGATTTCTATACAAACATTAGGAACTTATAGAATAGAATATTATTGATCGAAATTTCTGATATTTGATTTAGATATATATATATATGCGACTACTTTTTTACTCTTGCTCAGTTGCAAGTGATTTAATAGTAGATATAAGATATTATACAGAATATATCTTATTACATGTATGATACTGTTTAAATCAGAACCGTTTTGAATATCTAGATAGCTAAATAAAATCTCTGAGATACTTAAATTTATACACGAAATGTTTTCCAAACTATTGTTGCGTGCCTTGCTCTAAAACCTTTATAAAGAATGATGAAAACTGTGTTTGTAAGTTGTGCAAAACGTTTCTTTGTACACAATTTTAAGCATGTAACAAACTTTCTAGATTTGTATGGAATCGACATTATATTATTATAATTGTATTTTCAATTATTATATTTTCAATTTAATAAACAAAGGGCCGACTACAATTCTTCCCTTAGTCATATTGACTTATAAATATTTGTGTTTTATTTCTTCATCTCTTACCTTACATTATCATCCTAATATCACTAAACGAATGAAAAAACTAAAGGAACAAATAACCCTATCAGGTCGATACTGGTTTTTCTTAAACAATTAACATAGTATGCTACAATGAGTTTTTGAAAATGTTCTACTATAGAACCTTGTCTTTAAATATTATTACTTTTATTTTCGGTGGACACAAGAAAGCGGAGAACAAGGTATTTTGACGCGCTGAATACGTGTATTATAGTGAAAAAGTTCTAAAGTGTCATTGGACAGGATTTGGAGTGAAAAATTGGTAAAAAACTTACTGCCCGTAGCCGCCGCCCTGGCACCGAATTAGCATCGGATTCGAAATCTACGCACCCGATTTTTGGGGAACGGGTTTCCTTGTGGATCACAGACGGGCAACAATTTTTGAAAAATTCTTCAATGTGGTTTTTTAACAGAGACTTTTTTGCAGATATCTCGAAACTGGGGCATTATCGGACTGAATAGGCTTGCTTCGGATTCGGTTTCAGGGACCCAAAAAACGTATTATTTACTAGTATATTTATTTATTTACTAGTATATACGCTATCCGGTTTATAAGCACGGTTGAGCTCATATTCCTGACTGACCCATTTTAACCGTTTTTTAAGGTATACATGGTCACTGAAAATTAAGATATTCTAAGTGCGGTTCAAATTAACTGAACTGTACCTACGTATTTTGAGTCATCAAGACCAAATCCCGAATCAATCTGAACATACTTCATCCCATTTATCAGCTAGATCTGATTATTTGTAAAAAAATGCAAAAACTATTTTTTTAACGTTTTGCACATTTTTTTCCGACTTAGGCGTAAAACATCCATTTTTACTATAGATGGCTACACCCGTATTACGTAACTTAAAAATCGATTTGTGATAACATCATGTCGATTTTTCCGAAAAAAATTCACCTTAGAACTTCATGTTCTTTTGTATCTAGTTGCTGTGCGTGTTGCCTAAACGTCGTGACAATTGAGAGCTACAGTATATGGTTTGGCTCTGATATACACGTATGCTTCAGAGATGGGACTAGTGGGGAGTGGTGCCATTCATAGCTTCTATGGCCTAAGCTGTAGAGGAAAGGAACCAAATTTGAGATACCTTTTTTGAAACGGAAAAATAACGTACTTGTTGTTTTAAACGAGCTTCTATTTCTAAATAAACTTACGATTTGATGCTCCTAACATACTCTAAAATAAAAAAATAATATAAAATGTATTTTTTTACAGACAAAAAAGTATATTTTAAAAAAGGAAATATTTTTGTGAATTTACAGCTGGTTCCCTAATTTGAGATACTATTCAAAAAATCCCTTTCTTTTGCAGAAAGTGCAAATGAAAATTTTATTGGAAATCTCTTCACAATTTTTATGTGCCCACCTACTACAATGGCTGTATGTCCCATTTTTCACCCTTCTTATCTTCGGAAAATCATTCAGCATCGCCTTCATTTTGCTTTCGTCTGAAGATGAATCAACCAACTTAAGACGTCCGCTGCATTTTGAACTTGAACTGGAGGGGGAAGATACCTATCTGAATCCTTTTGAGGCTTTTAAATAATCCATCTCATTACTCTTGCGTTTCCAGGGGTGTCTCAAAATAGGAATTTTCCGTTAAAAAGTTTACACACAAGCATATTTAGGTTATATACCTAATAAAATCACAATAAAAAATAAAATAAATAAGGTATTTGTAAAATACTAAATTTATATCAGACAATTGTTCTTAGTAACTTACCTTAATTTTAGTAATCACTTTTCTCGCACTATTAAAAATATTTTTAACTCTCAAGAAGTAAGTGTAGAATATTACTGCGTCTTAGTTCACAACTTTTTGGTATTACTAGAAGATGCTGCTACAAAGATACAAAGTTACACCACTGTCGCAAATTAGGCACTTGTCTCAAATTTGGTTCCTTTCCTCTATGTTATATATTGTCGGTATACCGTGCCATTGTCCGTCAGAAATACGAGTACGCCTCGTCCCTTTCCTTTTACAGAATCAGAAATGATCTGACAACATTGCTATTTTAGGTGAATCTTTTGACATTATGGATTATGGAAATTATAGGTTATATTTGTTATTTTTTAGGTTACATTCAAGATGCTTAAAAAAATACCTCCCTTATTTTCCAAGAAATACCTGCATAAGTGGTTTTCTACCCAAGCAAATCATGTAAACCTCATTTTAGCAAACACAAATTCCATATGTCGGATATCTGTTTATTTTAGGTTAAAAGTAAGGAATATCCTAAAAGGATCTTCTCTGGGATTCAACCAACTGGTGCCATTCACCTGGGCAATTATTTGGGTGCCATTTCACAATGGGTAAAAATGCAGAACAACAATGAAGACATCATACTAAGTGTTGTTGACTTACACTCCATGACCCTGCCCCATGTAAATATTTCGATGAACTATTAGAAACTCACATTATGTGTGAACATCATTTAAATTTAAAAAAATCTGGGTGTGACAATACAAAGGGTACTATAAGAGTTTTGCAATACAGCTTTATTTTTAGACTTCGTTCAAAGTAATTTCCACCACATTGCTGCAAACCTCTGCAAAGTCCTTAAACCAGTTTTGCCAAGTTTCACCCGGGAGTGCGGCACACTCTTGCCAAGCCCTCAGAAGGTCCTCATCGCTAGAAAACCGTTTTCCTTTTAGCTTCATTTTTACATGTGGAGGCAGTGCAAAATCGCAGCTAGCAAGATCTGGACTGCAAGGGGGGTGCTCAATAAGTTTCACTCCAGTAGTGGTAAAATACTCGGTGCAGGTACCAAGTGTCCTTTCTTGACTTTGGCCGCAGGTGCTTCATAGACTTAGGCAGGCACTGTTCCAAGCACCACTTAGCTATGACTGTCTTCTGCATGTCCAAACGACAATCCCCACAATCCCGCACAGTTTGAAAAATATAGCTATCATCATAGCTTAACAGATCTGGATTTTCTGACAGCTATGGGTGTGTCTTTACCATCAAAAATACAAACTTTTTTTGTGCCTTCATCGGCACATCATAATAATAGAGCCAAGTCTCGTCACCTGTGAGGATGCTGTTCACATACCAAGATTGCCCCTTATCAAACATTTTCAACATTTTTCGACACATACGACGAGTCTTCTGCTCTTCCATCAGACTATGCAGTACCCAGAAAGAAGAAAGTTTTCTTACATGTAAATGGTCATGCAGAATTGAATGAATTGTTGGTGCATGAAGGTATGTATCTGTGTATCTGTTGGTATGTCACTCTCCGCTCTTCGTCAAGCATTTTCCTCACAGCAGTAATGTTTTCCTCTGTTACTGACGTTCGCCGCCTTCCATCCCTCCCAGTGTCCTCCAGAGTGAAATCGCTCCTTTGGAATTATCTGTAGCCCCTGAATATAGTCGTACGATGAGGACAATCATTCTTTAATGCGTCATCTCTTCGAAAAACCCTGGTCTATGCTTAAATTACGCGTAAAGTTATACCGTAAAACTGCCCTTATCTCATAGTCTGCACTTTGATATGCCAAATTTTTTTTGTTTATAAAAATGTATGACATAAATGCATGTCAGCCATGTGTGTTAGTCCAGTTAACTCAGACTGAGACTTCTATAAACAAATAAAATTGTATTAAACAGAAAAATTTAGAAAAAGTTATGTGAGTCATTGATACTGAGTAAAATAATTTATTTTCCCTGTCTGGACAAAATAACAGTCTGCCAAAAAAATATATCCTCCTGCTATATGTATAAACAATTTAAGAAGGTATGATCACATTCTTCTCTCAATTCTCCATGGATTGGCTAAAAATATTTGATATGTTCAAATACAACTTTGTTACATATGTCATCAAACTATTAAAATCCTCTGTTCCCTGTTATCTTAGGCAAAAGCTTGTTAATACGAATTTGATTCACAATTTGAATACATGCAAAACCATCCCCTCATGATGGCGCAATGTAGGTTAGCCATATTTTATTGCTCTTTTACGTACAATGCAGTGAAATAGATTAATTCATTTGACAGAAACATTATAAGCAAATTTAAAAAAAAAATCTATTGACAGTGTTTATACCCTTTTTCAGTTATACGTTCATTTTCTGTCTCTTCCTGATCTGTTGGTGTGGTACCAAGGCCATCTAGGCTCTCTGCTTTTAGATATTTTCTCTATTTCCTAATTATTTTCCTTCAGGCTAAGGTACTATTGAGCTTTATTCTAAGTATTTGTGACAATAAAGTCAATTGAATTGAATTGAAATAAGCTATGATGAACTATAGATGCATGTTTAACAAAAACGATTTTTTCGAACACTGACAAATTAATATCTAAGTAGGTACTCGTTTGAATAAATTATCAATATACATATATATATATATACATATATAACAAATGATGTTCATATGTGATGGAGGCCCCATTTACTTTGACTTAACAAATAATGTATATCATTTATGATTGCTGTTTACAGGATCCTAAACAATTATCAAGAAATATCTTACAAATGACAGCCACATTATTAGGTTGTGGAATAGACCCACAAAAAGTAGTATTATTCCAACAATCAACAGTACTTGAACACACACAGTTATGTTGGTGCTTGAGCTGCATATGTACCATGCCAAGGTCTATTTGATTTTGATTCAATTGTTTGAAAGTAAATAATTATTAAATTTTAGATTAGCTCATCTACCACAGTATAAGGAGAAGTCCAAGGATCTCAAAGACATCCCTTTAGGTTTATTTGTTTATCCAGTGTTACAAGCTGCTGATATTCTTGCTTACAAGTAAGTCACACTAGTCAAATAACTAATTTTTCAAGGAATTCAAAAAGCAATAATTCTAGCTTTGGAGCAAAAATAAATGTTCAAAAATTCAAATCTTACATGTTTTCCATACCAGTTTATATTTTCTACAAACCTTTCTTCTCAAATAGTTTCCATATGTTTTTTTTTTCATTTTGAATAGGGCTACACACGTTCCTGTGGGAGAGGATCAGGTACAACAGATTCAGTTAGCACAAGATCTTGCTAGGATGTTCAACAGTAGATTTGGAGAAACATTTCCAATACCACATACTGTAATTACTGGTAATTTCAACAATAATATTTATCAAAGTGCTATTTCATTGTTGAACTCGCATAATCTATATAATAAATACCCATAAATGACCATAAGGTGAATGTGTCAGTAGTCAGACAGCTTAGACAAAAGTGGTATATACAAAGTGTATCTACGAATTTTGTGCTCAAGATAATACATCTAATGCTTTTGGAGGTGATCATATATGTTGTTAACTTTTCGTTGACAACAAATACATTGCTTATAGATATTTCTGTAATTTCATAAAAAAATATTGATCAAAAAGGTGCTATTTTGCCAGTACTCGGACAGAAGGTGCTACTAATCGGTCGGCTAGTTTCCAATTGACGGACAGCATTTGCCTTGCCAGTATTTAAAAATGTGTGATAGTAGAATATAAATTTCAAATCAGTTGTCACTAGGACTTTGAGGAGAAGAAATTGAACACACTCATACCGAGTCCGTTTAATATAGATACTTTTTATCAAGGATGTATACAAACTAGAATGAACAAGAAACTAATGTTTCCCTTTAATCCGGGCTTGCACTGTAGACTTCAAACTACAATACTGTTTACATATTTCAACCATTTTCAAAACATTTATCACAGCTTCGACTGTCTCCTTTAACCTGCCTATATATATATTATTTTCTTGATATCCATGTCTGAATGAAGTGGAAATGTGAAAGTTTATTTCGTAGTCTCGTAAAAAAATGCGCCGGGAAAATGGAAGTGGATGTTATTGGGATGCTATGAAAATTAGTTCATTCCAGTAGTCGGGCACAATATCACTGGTCCTAGTCCACATTATTTGTTATCTTTCGCTGCTCGTCCACTGGCCGGGAGTTGAGTCGTATTTTGGTTGGTTTAATACCAATAGTCTCTATGTTTAAAGAAAAAAGATAGATTGATAACTACCACGGCATAGTAGTATGATGATCCAATCAGCGGCCACTTCAATTTGACCTCAAAATGTTAAAATGACATATTAAGATCAATTTATTTCGTAAATTGTGAATGTCCTCTGCATATGTAACAAGAACAGTATTTATATATATTGTCGGCTGATGATTCTACTTGTCTTTGAGTTTATGTCACTCACACCACAAATGACAAAAAATGATGAATCGAATGCATGTGAAATGTCTGTAAACTGTCACAATTAATAATTAACATTTGTCCAACTACTGGTAGTGTTTGGGCGACGGTGGCACATTCACTTTCCAAAAGCATGCTATATAGTAAAAAGCACTTACCTTCTGTGAGAAGGTAACTGAAAATGAAAAATATTATTATTGAATCTTTAGTTATTTTAAATATGTATGTACCTAGGTATTATATTAGTGATTTGCTACAAGACTGAAGTTACCTGTAAGTTTACATATTTGTACTGTGGATTGCAATAAAATAAATGTTCAGATTTTTTGAGAAAATGAAGGACTGAAAGCAGTAGGAATCCTTGGCAATATTCATATTTAAATATATCAATGGCAATTAAACATTCGTAAAAACAGACGAAAATGGTCCACTGATAACATAACTTTTTCTATCTAATCATGCACAATGAAACAATATTAAGATAAATTGTAATAAACAAAAAGCGGTATTTGTGAAGAGTTACATACCTTACTCACGTCTGTTCTTATGGCTCCTACAAGTCCTTGTAAACAGTAAAAACTTCCATCACAGCTTTAATAACACTCAATAGTGACTTCTCCCGAATTCAGACACCGTTGTCCACTAATTTTCTCATAAAATTCTAACAACTAGCCCATCGGCGTCTGATGATTATTAAGAATAGCAAAAAACTAACTAACAGTTGAAAAAGGCGGTTCAGGTTTTCTACGCACACTTTCTGCGCGCCACGAGTTGATTGATGAATTTAGTGCCCTGTTGCCAGATTTCTTAATCTTACGCGGAATACGGATACAAGATAAATGAGAACGCTTTTTCAGAACAGCGAGTGTTTTTAGAAATCGTTGTGAACTATTTAAATATTTTTTTGTCGATTCAAGATTTAGAATTAGGCAATCATTGTTATAGACTTCGTGACTGTTTTTTTTTTTTGTATCGGTATCGGCTGCAACCTTTTCTGATATCGTTGATTGATACAAGTTGGACATCCAATTCAGTTGTTCTCTAATTCGTAGAATTTAAGTAACGTTTTTGGACTGGTTTTTTGCAGGAGCAGAATTTGCAAGGTTACGAAGTCTGCGAGATCCACTGAAAAAGATGTCAAAATCTGATCCAGATCCTAAAAGTCGAATTTGTATGACTGATAGTCCCGATGAAATTGTACGAAACATAAAAAAGGCTGTGACTGATTTCACCTCAGAGGTAAATATAAAAATAATGCGAACAAAGATATGCGATGTGATACAATAATTGTTTTGTTACATTTCAGGTGACCTATGATCAAGAAAAAAGGCCTGGAGTTTCGAATTTGATCAGTATACATTCATTTGTTACAAACAAAACTGTAGATGAGATTTGTTCAGAAGCTGTAAATATAACCACCGGACAGTAAGGCTAAATAGCTAAATATTTTTTTGTTTCAATAATTGATTGTATTTATTTTAAGATATAAACTGATGGTAGCTGATGCCGTAGTTTCGTATTTGAAACCAATTCAAGACAAGATAGAGCAATATTCGTCTGATCCTGGTTATTTGAAGGATATATTGCAAGATGGCAGGGACAAAGCTAGGAATATATGCGCAAATAATTTAGCTGAAGTAGAATATAAGTTAGGGTTGAGAGTAAAAGTGAAAAAACAACAACGGATTGAAGTGAAAACATAACTTTATTTACACACTATGTATATATTGTATATATACTTTAAAATTAAATAAAATGCTGAAAAAATAACTGACATTTGACATTTAAATCGATTATACCAAGCGTCACATGCCACTGATAAAAAAATGTTGAATGGTTTTGATGTGTTACTCGTCGTTCAATCCGGTGTATTGTCAATATACAGGTCTGGACTTGGCTATTACCCGCTTTACATCAACAATTTTATGTCTTGATTAATGTAGTTCTATCAAAGTTCTATACTTGAATTGAAAATGTATTCAATATAATGAAAAGGAAAACAAGGTTGGTCCATGCAGTTTGACGTCCAACTCTGTCCGTTATTGCAAAATTTGTATTGGCTTAGCAAAAGGATCAATATTGTAACTATGTGACACTTAGTTTCCATGTTATATCAATACGAAAAATACAAATACTTTCATCTATACACAAATTCTTACTTTGGGATTTTCAACAAGTCTTTGAAATGCCAAAGGAAACTACAATACCTAAACAAACCGAATACAATGATACTTGCCTTACAACGAGCTTGTTACTAAACTGTAACATGTAGAAATGATACGGATGGTTTTTATGCAATATCAGTATACTGAAAAACAGTATTAGGCAAACAAATTCCCTTTGGTGTCCAAAACTGTGGTACAATTAAAAACCTAAAATCGCAGAATATGGTATAATGGTATAAACATTAGATACATGTAAGCATTACAACAAAACTAACAATATCATCAAAATAATTTATTTTGGTTTATATAAAGGTTCACAAATATGTGGTGTTGAAGCCATTTAGAAGATTTGCTATTATTTTTTTAAGCTTAAAAGATGCCTACAAAAATATTCAGTATGCAAACACTATTTTATGTATGCTTGCTTCAAGATGGATTAATGATTCAGGTTATTTAGTATGGATAAACAACATGTCTAGCAATGCATTTATGTATGCTTCAGTTAACTGGTGCAAGAAGTTCTTGAGTGATAATATAATGGTAAAGTTGTGGGTGGATCAACGGAAGACAGATGATAGAGGGCCTCACTGATTCAACCTACTGATTGAACCCCTATATATGCAATCCAATATTTTGTAGTTCAGGATATATTTGCAGTTTTGTGGAATTTTGGAAGAAACGGGATCATAAACTTTCAAGCGCAAGTTCAACTAAACTATAGGTCTGGGGCTGCGATTTTTCTCTGGTATGGGATAAATGGTTGCTCTTACCAATGGTTATATAATTTTGTGACGAAGCTAAATAAAAATCAACGCAAGCAATTTTCAGTTTTTGTGAAAAATCTCCATTCCTCAACTTTGGTCGGTCGAATTTATAATCTTTGAAGAATCAGCCGTCAAAATTTCATCATGGTACGATATAAGTGTGTGATTTGGACATTCGAGGCACGGGAGCGTTTAATCTTCAGTCCGACCAAAACTAGTCCGTCAATGATCCAGTGCGGAATTCGTGAAGTAAGTTTGGCATTTAAGTAGAATCATGTCATATTCCGCGGGGTTACGCATAAACGCATATTATGGTGCTGCTTATATACCGGCGGTATATCCCGATTACCGCGTTTTCATACGCGTCCAAAATACGTATAAGGTGAGGATAATTTATGGACTGGAGTGTTCAACAACAAATTAATTGGACCATACGAAATGCTCGACAGATTGGATGGCCAGTCATAACTTGTTTTTTACAAAACAATTTGCATGACTTGCTAGAGGATGTACCTTTGGCGTTCGAAGCTGCAACTATTTGTTATGCGATGGTGCCTCATGCCACTTTGCACTGGATGTAAGGCATCACTTGAACTGTGCTTTTCCTGGACGTTGGATAGTTAGATGTGGACCCATACGATGTCCTCCAAGATCACCAGATTTAAATCCTCCAGAATTTTTTTATATGGTGGTTTTATACATGACAATCTGTGCATCTGAATATATAAGTATCGGCCAACTGCGCCAGAAAATTAATGAGACAAAAATAAGGGCTATGGAAAATGAAGATTCATTTCAGAAACTAAAAAACAATTCTATTAGGTGTCACTTTTGCATAGAAAATAATGCTTTAAAAACAAGTTAAATAATTGGACCTTCCACATATGTCAATGCATCGCCATGAACATTTCCAGAACTGACTCTGAAGGGGTTATAATAGTTTTTACATGCATATTAAAAGACCAAGTCATTTTTTTAGACTACCCTCCAAAGTTGAGGTATGGAAGATTTTTCACAAAAAAATGAATTGAAGATTTTTTGCATTGATTATTATTAAGCGCCGTAACGGTTTAGTTGTACTTGTGCTAGAAAACCAGCTTTTTCCCAAAATTGCAAATATCCTCTGAACTATAAAATATCGGATCATAATACAGATAAATCCAAATATCACTGACCTGGTAATGTGTACGATAAGCGTGCAATACGCATGTTAGAGAGAGTGAGCCGATGGCAACGCGGCAAGTCGCAGCTGCGTCCGTGGCTCCGTCACTCGGCTTGCTGGGCAATGTGTTGTTCCTGTCTCTTTATAATGTACGTATTGTGCGCTTCTCTGTCGTGCACATAACATCAGTGGTATGTGGATTTCTCTATATATAACTTTATGCCCTGTAAATCACTGTATCAAGCCCCAATTACAGATGTTCCGTTTTTCTTTCATCTCATGTAGAATAAAGCCTGAAACTTCAACTCAGCAAGACTGCTAAAGAGACAACACTAAGCTAAGGGCCTGTGTGATGTCATGACTGATAGAAGTAATAAAGAACTATTCTACACTTACATATTTAAATAATAAGATACTTGCAACATTGATAAATAATCAACGTTTCTTTTCTGGCACTAATTCTCTTAAAAAATAACTGCACAATAATTCATCATCCACCAACTTGACATAGCCATCTGACACAGCAACGATAAAATTTGTATCTTGTTGTAGAGTTTTAGGTAGACCATCTTTGTAAGGAAAAACAATATTCGTTCTGCAAAATTCTTCCTTATAATTCTTTATTGCTCTATAATTATTTTCATTGATTACAGTGACAGGCTTAATATAAGCTATATGATTTCTGAACTTTTGTTCTGTGTCAATGATATATTCTGATATATTGAGAGATTTCTTTGAACTTCGGTTATATACATGGTTCTCCATTTTTGATATTGAATTTCTGTATATTTTTTCTACATGACTATCTTTAATCAGTTTGACATAACATGGTCTAATAGTTGCTTCAAGTTTTTTAGCAGGAGTCTTGCTCTTAGGCTTTCTTGGCCTTTTCACTTTTCTGTTTGTGTCATGTTCTTCTCCACCATTCAAAATTACAACCTTCTTAGTAATCAACAAACTGCTGTTACAAACAGACTCATTATCAGAACTGCCTGACCAATGAAATATGTCTTTAGCTCCAACAATTTTACTGATTGGTACTGTTTTTACTTGTCTGTTTCGTTTAGTTGCACTTGTAAGTTTTTTTAGTTCCTTCTTCTTTTTATTCAATGATGCATTCAATCTTCTCATCAACGCGTTAAGAGTACTCAAACATTTTTTTGATTGGTGACTTTCCATGTGTCCAAAACCAAAATTATTGGTGATACCTTGATATGGTGTAAAGCAAAACTTATCAGTCTTACCAGGTACTTTCTTTGTGATTGAATTTTTAGGACTTGTTTTATTTGCTGACCTATTTCCTGGACTTGGTTGAAACTTTTGTTCTACACTGACTGTATTAGCATTCAGGTAACTTGCTTGGCGATGGATATCATCGAAATTCAAAGAAAATGGCCTCAAACCTGTTGGCGCTGGGTTTACCTGCTTATACTTAGCAACCGGATCAACTTTGATCTTCAGAGGACCCATACCTGGGATATTTAGGGTCACAGGGCTTGGAGAGTTACTCATAGTTGGAATCACATTACCTGGTATCATGATTTTGAATATTCTACCATCCTTCATGAGAGTGACCATCTTGCCTCGTGAATTATTAGAAAAATAGCTCACTGCACTGTTTGGCATAGTATGGGTAACACCTTAAAAAAAAATTACCATGGTGATCAAGGTGGTTATTGTCGAAGATCAAGGTCATTGATATAAAAGAGAGAGACTGCTACTGTAAAGATATTAAAGTTTTAAAGGCAATTTCAAAGTATAAAGGTGCCTCTACCTTAATGGAACTGGCACTTACATCTAAGCAACTGACAGCTTTGAAGTAAAACATTAAGTGACTGAAGAGGTGTAAAAGTAAGGCAAACATCATAGGATCAGTATTTCTCATTGAATGTGATATGTACTGACCATGAACCCTTAATGTCAGTAATAACCAAAAAATTTAGACTACTTAAAAGGAGCAATCTTATGATTTGTTTGTCTCCAAAACCTCTGCTTATAGTTGGGGTGAAAGTGCATACTACAGGTGGACTTAACATAAGTTAATTTTTTGAAATTCTGTGTCATTAAATCAATATTTTATCAATGTTTTTTAAAAGTATGAAACTTTGCAGGTAAATTGTGGTACTGGACTATTCCAGAACACAGAACTTTTTGCATAATTAGCAAAGAGCATCACAAGCCTAATCAAGGCAGATCTATTATTATTATGTTGATATAATGCTGTTACTTTAGCAGCCAATGATAGTCAAATAATTCAAAAGTATGTACTGAAATTACCAAATTTTGGCGACAAACAATGCAATATAGGCTTGGTGCCTTCTATTTGAATCCATTGGTAATAACTGATTCATAAGGTTGAAAAAAACCACTGACGTTGATGGAATGATCAGCAAATACCAATTGTACAGACCACATGTAAATAATGATCTTTTGACGTTCGCCCAAGTGTAGAAGAATCATTACTTGGAGTATCTTCACTATCAGAGTCAATGCAGACTATATCCTCATCTACTTGTTTAGATGGATCAACACTTCTCCTCCTTATGAGTGGCGGTGGTTGTGACATTGGCATATTTGTATCCATTGTCTGAGTCACATTTACAGAAACCTGGAGGTTTGCATTGGATACGTTCATCTGGAAAGTACGATTTGTTAAAAAAGTGTTGATATACATGAAGCTTTGTTACCTTCTTGGCTCCAAATAAATTGTATTGTAAAATAATATTTTTAATATCAGATTGCTGATTTTCACTATTCACATCGTCCAACTTTTGCAAATTACGATTAGTTTTCAGATTTCCGCCTTTATTTTGCTAATTAATCAACAAACAAACCCACTAAAGTCCAGTGACGACTGACAGCGTGACAGCTGACAAGAGAATGAAACACGAATCAAATCCAAGCGAATAACCAAAATTTCTGTGTTATGTGTCGCGGTTATAATATAGTTCAAGATGACACACGGGTAGATGACGTCAGTTACACGAATCGCTTGAACGCGTAGGTTTTAACCGCGATTTTGTTGCAAGTTGTTTATTTTAGAAAAGCGCGTATATAATCTCTGATTATTTTTATTATCACTTAATAATCGGTGCTTTTTCGTCTACAACTGTATATGGAAAGTTTAAATAAGAAACCTTTCATAATATCCATGGGAGAAATGTTTTTTTCAGATTTTTTTTTTAATGATGGAACCATGGCTTTGTAGCTATGATAACTTTCAATTCTCTAAATTTTTCCGCATGTCCAAGAAAACATTTATTGATTCAGCAGAAATGATGAAAAAAGAAATTAGCAAAACCGTATACAGGTGGATATCATCTAGTGAGTTTATATAGCCATATTTTAATATTCTTGTGGTATATGGCTACATAGGATACTTTGTTAAGCATAGGAACTACATTTAAAGTGTTCCCAACAACCGTAATGAGTATAACTAATAAGGTGCTCCACTTTATGGTCAAACTGAAGTCAGCCTGTATCAATTTTCTCAAAAATGAAGCTGAAGTACAATAACAATATCCAATACCCGGCAAAATTCTAACTTGTCACATTTCAAATAATAACCAGAAATATAAAACTACTCTTGAGTTGGGTAAATACCACAATTTTGCGGTGATAACTATGACGTATAACAGCTGATTCGTGACGTCACGGATCTTATAACCAAACTGATAACTACACTCGCTTGAACGGATCGGTAAATACCAACCCAAAATGGTAAATACCATTTCCATTTGGTTATCCGCTTGAATTTGATTACGGAGGGAGGGAAAAGTCTGGGAATTTGCTTGATGAAGGACATTTCATCCACATTATACTTCGCTGTTGCCAAGTCTGCAAAATGAAGTGTATAATAGCCCGAAAAAAGTGAGTCTTACCTCGGAGAAGACAGAAGACGCTGTGTGGAATGTCCAGTGGCGGATTTAGAGGGGGGCGCGCGCCCCCTAGACGTCTGACACTTGCTTTTGTAATATAACACCATTGTGTTACTTTCTGACACATCATGGCGACAGAAGCATACTAACTATAAGCTATAGGAACTGAGTATTGCGATTTTTTGTATCCTTTGGTATTCCAAATGCTTGTTTACAGCACAATTCTTACGATTTACACGTATATACGAGTATTGTGACTTGTGACAAATCTAAGTCTGGGTAGCTAATATAATAGCTATACAGATTGCACTTAAAAGGTGATTTATTTCTGTTTATTGCTCAACAGTAATTTGAAATGTGTATAAAGTTTGACTGATTTTGTTCGGGATTGGTGTTGGAGCTAAGCACTATGTTAGATGAATGCCTAAATTGGAAATAGATATTTATGAGATTTGTTTAGCGGTGCGCCTATGGCCTGTCCAGAAACTGCGTCGATCGATGCTCAAAGTCAATACCACACGTTCCGCATCTCTTCTCGCGTATGTTATTTATGTTGCTATGTTGAATTCGATTAAATCACAGAGCTGCTGCACTACACGTGAATTTGTACAGCCCTATATTCCTGTACCTGTTTCGTACAAACATACATTATCAAAATAATTACGAACTAATAGATAGTTTTTTCCAACGACTTCCAACATTTTTACATGCGATCAATACCGGTACGAAAACTGAGAAAACAACAACTATGCCGTAAATCTAAGTTCGACAACGAAAGTCTGAAAAAACCCCAACCTCTACTGAGCGGGGCCGTAGCAAATGCTTGTTCCGGAAGTTGTTGTATCCAGTATACAACTTCCTACCGTTCAAGTGATTGTACACGCGTTAAGGAATACCTCAGTACCGATTGCCGTTGGAGGTACAAGTCCGCCAACGGCGAGGGAACATCGAGGACAAAATTTGTTTCGCGAACATCTGCGGGATTAACAGAAATATTGATGCTATACATCACTACTTGCAATCCAATCGTCCCGCCATGCTTTTCTTGGCGGAGACAAAAATCTCAGAGTCCGCACCGATTAACCACCTTAGCTTCCCAAATTACGAGGTGCACTCCAATCTGAGAAAGAATGGTGGAGTTGTGGTCTTTGTCCGCAGCAGTATCTCCTGCTGCAGAGATGTTTCTCTGGAATCAGACCGGAAGGACATTCTGTGGCTTCGCCTCAACTCCAAAACATTCCCCAAATTTATTCGCTGCCTTTATCGCTCTCCCTCGGACCGTAACTGGGATGACCTTCTTGAATACCTCGCCGTCAAGATCGACTTCCTGAACATCAATCACTCCGCTTCAGAGGTAGTTCTCCTCGGTGATTGCAATGACGATAATTTGCTTTGGTTGGGCTCAAACAAGACCGATGTAGCAGTTGAAGCGTTCGCTCTTACTCAAGGGCCGACCCAGCTGACCACGCATCCTGTCCCTTACAGCACTTCTGTCCTGTCCCCCCTGGGTAGCTCAGACCACGGTGTTGTGGCGGTTAGGTTTCGGTCAGAACCCGCTGTGGCAGCAGAAACTCGCACAGGCCGCAAAATTTGGCATTACGGACATGCCGACTGGGAGGGGCTCAGAGACTTCTTTTCTACCTTTCTTCAGAGAGATGTCTGTTTCACTGACGCGGATGCGTCGGCTGTCTGTTCTTCGATAACCAAAATTATCCACGTCGGAATGGAGGAATACATCCCCCATATAGTGAAAGTGCCTATACCAGGGTCACAGAGCAACGGCAGTCAGTCTTTCTGGACGTTGGCCAAGCAAATTGAAAAGAAACTCTCACACAACAGCCTCCCATGGACCGGACTTGATTCCTGCCATTGTACTGGAGAGGTGTGCAGCGGAGCTTGCTCTAATTCTTTCACGTCTCTTTCAGATACCTTATGAATCTGGCACCTTACCAGAAAACTGGCAATTCGCTCATGTCTAACCCATCCCAAAAAGGGATCTAAGACCGACCCTTACAACTATAAGCCTATAACTCTGCCTTCTGTTATAAGTAAGGTAATTTAGAGGTGCCCAAATCGCGAGCTTCTGGACTATCTCGAAAGTCACAGATTCATTAGCGACAGGCAGTATGGTTTCCAGCACCAGCGATCCACAGGGGACCTCCTAGCTTACGTCACGCAATTGTGGAGTAAACTCATCCAGTCTTATGGTGAGGCTTACTAACTAGTCGTTGCTCTTCACATTATGAAAGCGTTCGATCAGCTGTGACACGCTGTGCTTTTAAGCAAACTTCCATCCTATGGCCTTTCAGAAAAGTTTTGCAGATGGGTGGCTGATTTTATCTCTGGCCGCAAGATATCCGTCGTAATTGACGGGTTCTCCTCTTCATCCCACAACGTCAACGGGGGTGATCCCCAGACATCGGTCTTGTCTCCGGCACTGTTCCTCTTACATATCAACGATATCCTTTCCTGCAACTACAGTTTAGCTGATGACAGCACTCTACATGCAGGAATTCAGAGTGACAGTCGATCTCTGAAGCTGAGCTGGAAAATAGAACACTAGCGACGACTTCCTCTCTGAGGACAGACCTGGAGGTAATCACTGCTTGGGGATGCAACTTGTACAGTTTAATGCTTCCAAAACACAGTACTGTACCTTGACGAACAAAAAGCGTCCTAAAGCTTATCTGGTTTCGATAACTGACCGAGCTCTGCCAAAGAGCCATTCAGTTCGATAGGTCGGAGTCCAGATCACAGAGTCTGCCCCCCCCTTAGCCGAAATCCTGAATCCGCCCTTGGGAATGTCGATGTCTGCCAGTCGGCTGCATTGGCCTTGAGTTTCTTCTGCACTAGAGTACCCAGGGAATCCGGTCCATAGAGTTTTTGGTTACATTGCGTACTGAATATGATATGATAAAAAAACGTGCCAAACTTTAGGTATTTTGATGCCAAACAGCAAACTTGCCGAATTTGCTGCATTGCTCTGGTTCTGACTTGATTCATACCGTTGTATTGAAGACGTGTGCAGCGGAGCGTGCTCCACTTCCTTCGCGACGCGTCAAAAGTGTATTACGAATCCTTTCCAGAAAACTGGAAATTTGCTCATGTACAACCCATCTCAAAAGAGGATCTATTACATAACCTTAGAGCTACAGGTCTATAGCTCTGCTTTCTGTTATAAGTAAGGTGATGGACAGGTGCATAAATCGCGACCTTTTGGACTACCTCGAACGTCACGGCTTGATTAGAAACCCATCCAGTCTTATGGTGAGGCTCATGAGGTTGCTCTTGATATCACGAAAGTGTTCGCTCAACTGTGGCACGCTGCCCTCTTATGCAAACTTCGATTCTATGGCCTCCCAGAGAAGTTTGCAGATGACTTTCTCTCTGGCCGCAAGATATCCGTCGGGATCGGTCTTGGCTCCGGTACAGTTCCTCTTACATATCAACCACCTCCTTTATTGTAAAAAAAGCCGATCTCCGATGGTGATCTAGAAAAGAAGCAGCGATTTCTTTACTGTTTAATGCTTCCAAAACACAGTACTGTAACTTGTCGAAAAGAAGGCTTCCTAGCTCTCATCCGTTTTCGATGGATGGCAGAGTTCTGCCAAAGAGCCGTTCATTTCGGCTAGTCGGAGTCCAGATAACCGAGGACTTAATCTGGCACGAACACATCTCGTCAATAGCGGCAGCTTCTAGGGAAAAGCAAGGCTATTTATTTAGGGCTAAGAAGTACTTTTCTCCTCATGACCTCCTCACTTTATAGAGGCCCAGATAAGATCTAGCCTTGAGTCTTGCTCATACATTTGGGGTGCTGCCGCTTCGACTACAATATTCATGCTCGATGCTGTCGGGAGGAGGGCTGTCCGACTGATATATGACTCTTCTCTAACCGTCTCAGGACTTTTTTTGCACCGGCGGGCCGTCGGCGATCTAGTTCTTTTCTACCGCTACACCAACGGGCTTTGCTCCTCAGAGCTATATTCGCGTGTCCAAAAAATTATCCGATGTAAAATGAAATACCTTAGCGTTATCTACGAGAATTTGATACAGCTGTTTCTCTATTTACCATATAACTTGGTAAGGATAGTGACGCCTAGATGGAGGTGTCTATATGAGCGTATAAAAGTATATAAGGTGCCTAAGACGCCATATGTGAGACACTAACCTTTAAAGTATAAATAGTAAGTAGAGAAACATTTGTGAAAACATTAACAGATGACGCTACAGTATCTCATTCTCGGATAATATTTTTTGACGAGCAATTATAGTATTAGATTAGCTATCTTCGGGTAGGATACGATAGTCATTGATAAAATTTGAATTAAATGAAGAATGGTTAACTTTGCAATGTAAAAAAATGATTCATAGTTTACATAATATATAAAAAACAAAGTGTTAATGATTTGTTAGTTTTATTTATTCAACTATGTATTTATAGTGATTGTTTTAGTAAAATAAATACATTTTCCCAGAATTGCATGGTAAGTACAGAGTTAATCTTCTTGACGCCAGTTTTTTCAGACTTCAGCGGTTTTTTTTTTCAACATCAGTGTCCTAGTTCATAAGTAGTTGATTTTGTTTTGAATCCTATATCTGAATTGAAATTATATGTAGTCCGGTGACTCAGTCTACAATTTTGTTTGGCTTCGTAAATTACGCAACTCTCAACAGGTTGCTTGAGTTGTTTATTAGGAAAATCCAGTGACACTGCATACGAATCTTGAAAAAATTGTAGGCTAGAGATCAAAGATAGCATTCTCAGAAAAAATATTTATGTTATTTGGTCCAGTTTACTATTTGACCCCTTATTATTGGAGGCGATAAGATAACTCTAATAATGAAAGAAAATAAATGTTATTAAACAAATATAGTGTTCAGCTTTTCAGTATGTGTTTTGTAGCTTGCTAAAAAATGGTGTACAAAATAAGGAAATTTCCCGTACATATTATCCTTTCCTTAACTATCATAGGATTTTCACAAGCGGTAAGTGCACAAAAAATGTATCTGAAATTGACATAATATAAATGTTGGAAACAATAGGCTTGACCTAGAATTTTTCACTTGGGTGTAGCTCCATTGACGGCGTCTTACCAGTAGAAGCTCAGAATTGCGTAAGCCTTTGAAGTGGTGCCATGTAACATGTAACTCTCATGTTTATCCACCAAGCGTTTTATTTGTTAATAACAAAAGATTTGTACGGGGTGGCCAACTAAGAATGCGAGGTACTGTATAAGTTATTACTAAAACGGCCAAGGCAAAAATCTGGAAAATCTTTTCAAGTTTTTGAAATGGCCGCGAGTGGGTGAAACTGCAATCTTGAATCTAAAAATCTGATGTTTCTGTGAATTCCGCTATATTAACCTAACAAAAAAATACCTGATCTTTAAAGTCGAGGATAATGTGCATTTTTTTTAGACAATTTTTGCTATACCTCTAAAAATAAAGTGGTGGGGGTATTTAAAGGTTTCCGCAATAAACGTCCTGTATCTTCGACACGGCAGGTCCGATTTTAACAAAGTTGAACTAGTTGAAAAGAGCTATAAATTTTATAATATTTGAAGTTTGTTAGTTTCACATGTGGCCGCTAGGTTTTTTGACATCCCGACAGAAATGGTTAATTTTCTCAAAAAATTTGATGCATTGGTATGATTTTTTGTTTGTCAAAAAGTAGCTAAATGATGTCTAAAAAAGCTAGTGACAACCGCTTCTCGATATCTTGTTCCTAACCTAAAATCTAGGCCAAAGAAATTTTTTTAGGAAAATTCCTTAAATTTTTGTTTTTTGAACTGATTCTTCTGAAATTCTTTTCAATTCATCAGAATGAAATCACCCTTTGCGAAAACATTACAAAATATCGCTAAAAGGTAAGAACGTAATGGTAACGGTTTCGTAATACTTTGAGCAATTTTTGTGTTTACCAAATGCGTTTTAAGGACGATGAAGCTTGCAGTTTATTTTAAATGACTTCTGAATACCGTAGTAACAAAAAGAGTTTACGCGACCCGATATTCAAATCGGCGTCTTTGCGATGTGAGAATTTTTCCCCGATTAGTGGCGAGCTTACGAGCCAATGCTAGTTTTCGTCCTTCGATTCAACGGCAATGAATTGGAAGAAAATATACTGGAATATATTGAAGGAAATCCTCATGTTAGCGCAAGGGCATGATCACTTGAATTGGGCGTATCACGAACAACGGTTAAAAATATTTTGACGGACCTTAGGTAAGTGGCCATCAAAACATAGGGACTTATTTGAGGTTAACTTTTTTAAATGACTTTTAGAATGCTACATGTCGATATAAATCAGGCCTTGAAAGAAGAGGACTTTGATCGGAGGTTGGACTGTTGCCGTTGGATGTTAGGCATGATACGCGAAAACGTAGAGAAATTTTATTTCAGATGCTTTGGACCAATGTAGCCACCTCTAACAGTGACGGGAGAGCCAATCTGCACCATATTCATTATTGGTCTGCATAAACTTCGCACCAAGGAGTTGCAGTTCAAATCTGTGGTGTGGCATACTGGGAGGTAGAACTATTGGGCTATATTTTTTCGATTAATCCCTAAATGGCAATGTCTTTCTTGCCTTTTTGGACAAACTTATTTTTGTAATTGGATGGTTGCCCAGCGCATTTTGCTATAGTCCGTACCATGAATGTTGGCGTACACGTCATCATTTGTACATTTCCGAGCAAATAGTTTTGAAGTAGGCACTTTCTACCATAGGCGAATATCCATAGGCGTGCCCCCGGGAAGAGATTTTTAGTAGTAAAAATGTACTGTGTCAGGCGGCAAAAAGTATTTTCTGTATATTTCGAAAATATTTGCTGCACAAAACGGCAAGTCTTGATTTATTGTTATTTGAATGCGCGATTTAAGGAACATATTTCAATTTTGCAGGAAATGAAGAAAAACAGAATATTTTCTGAAAAAGCATAACATTGAGAAAAATATTGAAATTTCAGTTTTAAGTTCTAAAATTAAACATACTCGAACATATAAGGTAATTAATAGATTTTTTTATTTGTACTGGTAGATAGCGTATATGAACACAAAGTTACGATGAATTACCAGGCTCTATCACACAACAATTCCTTCAAGCTTTCATGGGTAGATTTAACCGAAATAAATATCGCTGTCTTAAAAATCTTCACCTGAACTGCTGTCGTCTCCATTGATTGTAATAATCACTTCTGGCACATTATCCAGGATTCGTTGTCTGTTATACCATGCATCTATAACTCCCTCCGTGTGTGTGACAACAGAGGCCCATCTTTCAGGAGTACAGTTTTCCAATGCCTTCTGCCACATGCCTAGCACTTTGTCAGCGCCATAACCTTCCTCGCCTATATGGGTATCATAATATTGTTTTGCCTGTGCCCATATCAGTTCGATGGCATTGAACTGGCAGTGGTATGGCGGTAGTCGCAGTACCTCATGCCCATGTTCTCGTAGGTATTCATCAACAACAAATCTTGCAGGCCGAGCATGTTGCTTGGCCAATTTTAAGAGTTCACTTTTAAATTGGTTCCTCTCAAAATTAATGTTGTTTCCCTCCAACCACTGTGTGACCTGGGCTTTTGTCCAAGATGATATTGGCTGCTTCTCCACTAATACACTGTGGTAGGAAGCATTATCCATAACAATGAGGCATGGCTCCTCCAAATTTGGAACCAGCTTCTCTTTGACCCACTTCAAAAATATATCGCCATTCATGTCTCCATGATAATCTGCCAGTTTTGAGGCAGTGCCATAGTTGAGTGAAGCATTCTCCACGGACCCCCCACTGTGACCAGCATGTAATACAATATAGCGTTTGCCTTCAAATCCCCCAGGTTTTCCGGTCCCTTTTACGGATCCGTCCTGCCAGGATCTCTTCCTGTTCCCTTTTGCAAAAATCCATGTCTCATCTAAGAAAACAACTGTGCGTTTAAATGGGGAGTTTCCATTTTCATTATATTTGCGCAGAAATTCTGCTCTCAAAGCAACGACACTGCTTTTCTCCATAAGCGCCTTCCGGTTGTCTTCCTGTTTATATTGGAAGCCAATAAGCGGCAATAAGCGGCACAATGACATCTTGCTTATGTCCACTATTTGTTTGACGTCCAATTCTTCCTTTAATGTTTTGATAGTAACATGCCTCTCTGTAAGTATTAATACATAAATAAATCGTATTAATGGAGACAAAAATACGTACTTTCTGAGTACATGTTGTAAATTGCATTTTTCACTTCCATCTTCACAGCGTCTGGTAAGTCTGCTGTTTTTGTTTTTTCCCGGGGCTCATATTTTTTTGTTCTGGAGGCAGCTTGATCTTCCTGGTCTACGGGCTTTCGGTTTTCTTTTGATTCTCTGAAAATACGTGACACCGTCCGCATACTAATGCCCATTGCGTGGGAAACACGCTGAAAAATTTAATTTATTTATTTTATGATTTATTAGACTTCGTATAATGTCAATGTATTAGTGATAGGCATGTGAATAAACTTTTAGGTTCTGTCGATGGTGAAAAAACCCTACACCTTTTTTTTCAACGTTCGAGAGTTCGAGACGTTCGAGAGTTAAGCTTCGAGAAACCAGAGTTATTCATTGTCTGTCTTGATAGTTTTCTCTCCATTTGAAAATGTAATATAAGATATAAAAATTAAATTATAATATAATTTTTTAATAGATGTGTAACATAACAAGAAAAACATGACGCAAGGAGAAAAAACAACGTGAAACTTTTTTCAATAATACATATAACCATACATATAAATATTACCTCCTGAATTGCGTCCACAGGTAATAAGGGCCCATTATTACGTTTTTCGCGATCAAAATACTTTAGTAGCTTCACCACCATGTCCCTGGCTACTCCATCAAGTCTTTTGCCGGGCATTTTTTATTCACTTTATTTACACTAATTGTAAAGAACAACAAACCGGAAAACGGTGCAAAAATCAACCGCGCAGTTCTGAACCTTTGCTATACAAACCGTACGCTCATGATCGTCGCTGTCACCGTGACTTACGATATAGTGCGACCTACCTAATAATACCGTCTTTGTCTAACACATTGCTGCGTAAGCGGCAACGCTCCCAACCTGTCGTAGCACCAGAAAACATATGTTATTGTTATCCAGTACGGTCGTGCTCACTCGTTAAAAGGAGATGGCAGAAAATCTGCCAGTCGTGGATAAATGCATCAAGTGATGACGTGTATGCCAACATTCATGGTACGGACTATATTATTGTGCGAGAGCCTATTAATGCACTATTCACAACAACGGTGGATTGGAAGAGGAAGTCTTTTTCCATGGCCTTCGCGATCACCAGAATTAACTTGTCTTGATTTTTATTTATGTTGAGGGTTAAAAAGCATCGTGTTTCAGGCTCAACCTACAACGAGAGAAGATATGAAAAACCGGATTCGTAATGCAATACGTAACTTACCAAGAGCCGAAATTGAAGCTGCAGTTTTGTCCACCCATGAGAGGCTTCAGGAATGCATCAAGCATTTACGGGGACATTAAAAACCTTTCTTTTTTAAATCGGTCCTTTTTAGGATCACAACTTAATAATAAAAATAAATTCCAGAAAAATTAGTCAAAAAAATATTTAAGGGATTTCCGTATAAAACCCTCTTTGGTCTAAATTTTAGGTTAGGAACAAAATATCGAGATGCGGTTTTCACGAGCTTGCTTAAACATTATTTAGCTACCTTTTCGTGGAAAAAACTCATGCAATGCTTATAATTTTTTTGAGAAAATTAACCATTTCTATGGGAGTGTAAAAAAAGCCCTCTAGCGGTTATGTGAGACTAACAAAACTTCAAATATTATAACATTTGTAGGCCAAGAATAACTCCTTCCAGTTTGTTAAAATTGGCCCAGCCGTTTCGAAGATATAGGGTGTTTCTTACGGAAACCTTTGAGTACCCTACACCACATAGTTTTTAGAGACACAGCAGAACAGCAGCGGTGGCCGCAGTAGTAGACTCTTCGGTCTCCTGATCAGTCGCCGTGCGCTGTGCGGGTTCGAGTCCCGTCCCAGGAGAAAATTTTTCTCTTGGCTATGGATGTTGTGATTGTCCGTAGGTGGTAGACGGTCTCTGACTGTCGAACGTGGAGGTACCGCCCGGCGGATCTCGTAGGCGGAGCCAGAATGTGTGCATGTTGCATGCACACGTGTTCCCTCGCCAGAGTCCGTGTGGCGTTTCCCCTGTATCCCCCTATAGCCCCACGGTACCCAATGGGTGTTTAGGCCTTAGGCCTTCGTGGTAGTTGAAGTATAAAAAAAAGGTCCAGATTATCCTCGAATTTAAAGATCAGGTACTTTTTTGTTAGGTTAATATAGCGGAATTCAAAGAAAAAAATAACTTTTTTGATTCAAGATTGCAGTTACGCGCCCTAGCGGCCACTTCAGAAACTTGGAAGTATTTTCCAGGCTCTTGGCCGTTTTAGTTATACCGGCTTTTGCCGTAAGCTTCTACGATTGATAGGTTCCCTCGCATTCTTAGTTGGCCATCCTGTACACTTTTAAATTCAAATGAATTTAAAATTGATGTGCACACTTATCAAACTAACCATGCCATAAATTCATCTTGCTAGATAATTGATCCAAGCTATCAACAGACGAAATATTACACGCCTGGTATCAAGACCAAAAATTGGAAAAACGAACACGTGATTACTCATCAGAACTACAGCAAGGTTTTCTTCCACAACAATATATCAGGAACAATATTAAATGGCCATCAATACGGCGTTCCCAACAAAAATAAAACAGATAATACTGAAGAAACAGCTACAGCAATACCATCTCAGGATATACTTCAGATTTTCAAAGAAGGTAGAGGATCTTTATTGAATAATATGTGATTACATATATTGACATCTAAGAAATTCATTTTCTCTTCTTCATTTCTGCCCGTCTTCATTTCATACTTTGTCCTCTTCTATCTCATCATCAACATTATTATTATCATCATAATAATCATCGTCTTATTCTTATTATCTTATTATTCATCCTCATTTCCGTGCATTTTTAAATGGAGATCTTGTATTTTCTCTCTGTTAAACACATTGCAGAACAAATTAGGCCAGTAATACATAAGAGAAGAATAGCAAAAGCATTGGAAGTATACGAAAAGTGTCCACCCGGCGAAACTGGACAGTTCGTGTACCATTTATCTTGCAATCAGTTCCTAAATTGTTGGAAAGGCAGAGGAAACGTCCAAAATTGTGCACCAGGAACTTTGTTTAACCCCAAAACACTGGAATGTGACTATCCAGAAAAGGTTGACTGTGTCACAGGTAACTCCTATGGTGCTACCAAGTATGGGATTTCTTGGGCCCTCCTTAGGCTTGCAAAAGTAAATTTTCGGGATAACAGAAGTCTTGAATATGGCTACATGTACTGATACTTGTTTTTTTCGTAATAACAACTATCCAGAATCTAATATATTGATGTTTTGCTCATATTTAGATATCGTTTTTAAATTGCAAGGATATCTTCTTTCCATGAATAATATGCACAAACTAAACGTACCTATACAGGGTGTCCCGAAAAAAGTGTGCAATATTCTACCAGCGGTTTCTAGAGCTTAAAATAGGAAGAAAAATTTATATAAACATAGGTCGACAAACGTCCCCTAAGGGCGCTACGGTCTTTTAAAGGGGCTCCCCTGAAGATGGTCTTTCCTTAATATTTCCGAAACGGGTTGAGATAAAGACATAAAATTTGGTATTCTAGCCTAGCTTTTTATGCTGGATTTAAAAATATTAACAATTTTAGACAGTTTTGTTTGGAAGCGTATGTAACAGGGACGGACTCAGGTTATTTTAGCCCAAACATTTTTGTGTGATTCTATTTTTGAAATTCAATTTTAGAATTTGAAAATCTATGGTTTTCTACATAAAAAAGGTACTCTTATTGAATATCGATAAATTGTGCAATTTTTTAATAAAATCATACTAAAACACTTGTCACATGATAGAAAATATACTGCGAATTTAAGTGAATTGTTGAATAATTAGCCATGGCAACGAAAAAACTAATTTAATAATTGGTAAATATTACATAAATACATATTTCTATTGCAACATAGCTAACATTTAGGCAAAAATAATTTTTTTCTACGAACGAAATTGAAATTTGTTTAAAAAAGAAGACATACAGTTGGATATACTTAAAACTAGCTTTACAATAAGTGCTCAAATAAATTCCCATTTTGTTGGATACAGAGTCTCGCTCGACGAACTAATGATTGCGTAGGCTGAAAAGTGGAAAACCTTTTTCTTCTTATTTCATTTGCAGCCTGATGGATTCTTTGAAGTAAATCTTCTTGAGTATTTACTTCTGTCGAGTAAACTAGGTCTTTTAATGACCCCCAAAAATAGAAATCCAATGGATTTAGGTCAGGTGAACGTGGCGGCCACGCTATAGGATCCCCTCGGCCTAACCATCTGTCTGGAAAATTTACATTCAACCAATTTCGAACATTGCGTCCAAAATGTGCAGGGGCGCCATCATGTTAAAAAAACATATTTTCTTGAAACTGCTGGCGCATATCCAATGGTATTACATCCATGAGCTCATTCTGAAGAAAGTTCAGATACACCTCTGAATTAAGATGATTGGGAAGTACAATAGGCCCAATCACATGATCCCCAATTACTCCTGCCCATAAGTTCAATGAAAATCTATGTTGGAAATTTGTACGGCGAACAACTTTTGGATTTTCATCTGACCAGTGATGCATGTTATGGAAGTTAAAAGCACCATTCCTAGTAAATATTGACTCATCAGACCATAATATTCTAGGAATAGTGTTTTCATTTGCTAATATCCACTGGCAAAACTCGATTCGTGGTAAAAAAACTGCCTCCGTTTCACGCTGCACCTGTTTAAAATGATAAGGATGTAATCCTTGCATTGTTGTCATTCTTCCTATTTAAATTATTATTTTTAGGATAACTATCAAATAGGTATTCATAAATTTTTCTTACTATTGATCGAGGTATATCCATAATTTCTGAAACATTTCGTATGCTTATTTGCGCATTATTTTCAAATATATTTAAGATCCATACGATGATTTCCCAGTGGCCTTCCTGAGCCCTGCATGCGCTGAAAACTTCCATGGTTTGACAAATTCCGGTAAATATCAGTAAACATTCGACGTCCAGGTACTATGCGATTGGGAAATCTTCTTTGATATTCTCTTATGGCTGTCAATGAACTGCCATTGCTAAACCCGTACAAAAAATGCATGTCAGTCAGTTCTCTGTCTGTAAATCTTGGCATTTTAAATCGATTTAATAAAACTTTTGATTTTAATCTAGTAATTTTACACTACTAACAATGTCAGGTTAACGTCAAAATAAGTCATAACAAATCAAAACAACTTTTGTTTGCAGTCATGGCTAACTATATATAATCAACAATTCATTTAAATTCGCAGTACATTTCCTATCATGTGACAAATTTTTTAGTTTGATTTTATTCAAAAATGGCACAATTTATCTATATTCAATAAGAGTACCTTTTTATGTAAAAAACGCTAGATTTTCAAATTCTAAAATTGAATTTCAAAAATAGATTCACACAAAAATTTTGAGGCTAAAATAACCTGAGTCCGTCCCTGTTACAAACGCTTCCACACAAAACTGTCTAAAATTGTTAATATTTTTAAATCCAGCATAAAAAACTAGACTAGAATAGCAAATTTTATGTCTTTATCTCAACACGTTTCGGAAATATTAAGGAAAAACCATCTTTAGGGGAGCCCCTTTAAAAGACCGTAGCGCCCTTAGGGGACGTTTGTCGACCTATGTTTATATAAACTTTTCCTCCTATTTTAAGCTCTAGAAGTCGCTGGTAGTATATTGCACACTTTTTCGGGACCAACCACTAAATTGAGCAGAAAATACTGACAATATAAGTATGAAGATATGCGAGTTTCCAAAGTATATTTATATTTTAAAGGGCCTAGGCAAAATACGGTTGGGAATCTCAGATCTGCAAAATCTATTGCTCAACCAAGTTGTCCAGAAGATTTCACAGGGCTAATACCAAATTATACGGATTGCTCTAAGTTTATTAACTGTAACAATGGTCAATCCATGTCTCAAGACTGTCCTCCGGGAACGCTTTTTGATACAAATAAGAATCTTTGTGATTTTCCACAAAACGCAGTCTGCTTCAATGGACAGAATGAAATCACAAAACCAGGTAGGTTTCAAGAATTAGGCATTTTTAATAGATATTTTTATTACTTTCGGAGTGTGAACCTGATAAAAGAAACGAATGATCATCAAACCGTTTATCTAATATTTGAACAATGTTTGACCACGATTTGTTCAAGAAAATTGAAACTGAACTTAATTCACAGGTAACCAATATGAAGCAACCAGCACAAATGTTCATACGAAATGTGATCCTTCAACCCAAGGCTGTTACCTGGTTCTACCTAACAGCCAGTATCCTTACTATATCTCTGGATATTCTCAAAAAAATGACGAAGACGCCTTGTCGGCGGGAAGGCAATTCACTTACTACGGTTCTGGTTATAGTAGTGAGAAGCAAGGAAACTTTCAAGCCACCAATTGTGACCTATCCTCAGGAAATTGTAAACGTGGACTGGGATCATCCAGTAGTCAAAGTGCTGGTCAACTCTGTAACCCACTGACCCAGAACTGTGGCCAAATCACTGCCCTATATGGTAGTACAGCTTCTTGTGATCCACGAACTCAAAACTGTGGCCAACGGGGTCCAGGTGATACACAAACTTCAAGCTATGGAGTAAACCAACACGGAGAATCTGTCTTGTTGACAGGAGAAGTAGCTTGTGATCCACTGAAGCAAAATTGCGAGCAGTATGGAAAAGTTGGCCGCACCCATGGAAGTGATGTAGTAAAAACTAGTGGCCATGATTCTAATCGGGTAACTTATGGAGAAAATACTTGTGACCCAAGCGTTGAGAACTGTGGGAGAACTACGGTCTACACGCATAGTACTGGCAATGTGCAGAAATCATGTGACCCTAGTACTCAGAATTGTCAAACTATACGTGGTCAACATACCACACCAAGCTATGGATCTGCAGGTGCATATGGCCAAACGGCAGATTTGGATCAACATGGACAAAACTGGTGTGATCCACGTACACAGAACTGTGGTACACTTACAGGATATGAGCAAGCTACAAAGACGGGTCAACATGGACATTATTATGGTCAAGCTGGTCAGCAGACTCAATATGGTTACACGAGACAAGACGATCGTAGATGTGACCCTCGTACACAAAACTGTGATAAAAATGTTCAATATGGTCAAGTTTCTGGGAGAGGACAACAGAACTGTAATCCCAGCATGCAGAACTGTGACCAGTACTATCATCATGGTCAAGTCGGAACTCCAGGACAAGATGTTCCAAGTAAATGTGACCCTCTTACGCAAAGCTGTGGTCAACAAGTTCAGTATGTTCAAGCTTTAGCAGGTGGACAGCAGAACTGCAATCCCAGTACACAAAACTGCGGGCAGTATTATCAACATGGTCAAGTAGAAACTTCAGGACAAGGTGGTCAAAGTAGATGTGATCCTCGTTCACAAAACTGTGGTCAACAGTTGCAGACTGGTCACGTTTCTGGAGTAAGCAAACCAAACTGTGATCCCCGCACCCAAAACTGTGGTCAGTATTATCATCATGGTCAAGTAGAAACTTCAAAATCTGGTATTCAAAGTTCGTGTGACCCACGCAAACAAAACTGTGGTCAACAAGTTCAGGATAGTCATATTTCTGGAGCAGGCCAAGGAAAATGTGACCCCCGTATCCAGAATTGTGGGCAGTACTACCAACATGGTTATGTAGGAACTCCAGAACAGGATGGTCAAGGGAGATGCGACCCTCGCACACAATACTGTGGGCAAGAGGCTCAGTATGGTGGAGCTTCAGGAAGTAGCCGACCTAACTGTAATCCCCGTACCCAAAACTGTGGTCAACACAATCAACAAGGACAAGCAGGTACTACAGAAGCAGCTGGTCAAAACAGGTATGATCCCTATACACAAAATTGTGGACAAGTGACATTTAATGCTCAAGTGACAGGAGGTTCTCAAGTACCGTGCGACCCTTTAACCCAAAACTGTGGGCAGTATCATCAATATGGCCAAACGGGTGCTCCAGGACAAAGTAGATGTGATCCTGGTACACAAAATTGTGGACAATATGGATACAAAGCAGTACAATCTTTAAGTAACAAACAACAGGGTGCAAATGCTTCTCCATGCAATCCTTTGTATCAAATCTGTGCACCTACGGCAGGACCTGTGCAAAACAGCTTGAACGGAGGATGCAATCCTCAAGAGAAGAATTGCTCACCAAGTGGTCACAGAGAACCAAAAATTCTTCATCACAACTCGAAGTCAAACGACTGCATTCCTGGACAGAACTGTGAAGCAGCAACAAACTACAAGAAGGTCTGCAATATCAACGATCACAAATGCAGGAGCGAGAGCCACAGTATAGTCAGCAAAGACACAAATAGTCAAAGGCCCAAGTGTCCAGATGGATTCCAAGGCATCACAAAGCATCCCACTGACTGCCAGAAGTTTCTGAACTGTGCGAATGGTCAGACCTTCATACAGGATTGCGCTCCTGGCACCTTGTTCAATCCTAAATTGGGCAATTGTGATTTTCCTTATAACGTGGATTGCGACGAGGCGAAGATAGATGTTCCTATCGAAGAAGATAGTAATGATTATGATGGGTATGCTGAAGGTTACACTGAAATCTATGGTAGGGTACCATCTTCAACTTGGCAGGGACAGTATGGAGATAACTCACAGTACTCCAAAGCTGGTGAGTTGGTATCAGTAAAGTAAACAGAGTGTTCTCAAAGTCGGGATCTTCCAGAAACAACTACACTTTGAATATCGGGTTGTCTAATAAATAATGAGCTACACACGTAACTTTAAAATTTTATCGTTTATTTATGAATTAATATGTAATTAATCATTGACGATAAGTGATAATAATACATTTATTTCATTGTTAAATAGCCACAGACAAATCAAAAGTCAAAAGGGAATGGTAGAACAAAAACAATACAACACAGATTAAAAAAAAAGTTTTACACACAATGAACCCTTCCAAGCTATAAAAACACGTATCTGTTGGAAATGATTTCAACCGACTTTTAATAATTTTCTTTTAAATTATTGAATATTTTACAACCCATGTAACTCAAAGATTTCTGATATGCGGCAGTACGTGTTCTTCTTTGTTATTGAAGAAGTTCAATTTATTTTTATTTACAACATTGCTTTTATACATTTTTATTGGGACTTTTTACTTTATTGATATTTGAAACATTTAGTTTAATGAGTTTGTTATTATCTTGTTTTTGCAACAATGTAATCACAGAATAAAAGAATCACTCTTTAAGGTTAGTTAAATGTAAAAAAAGAGATTCTAAAAAAATTTTACATGACTCCTTTATCCACTCGAAAATAATCCCTGCAAGATATACGCCAATTAAAATTTGCAATAACATATTTCTGGAGAGGAAGAACTCTATCTATCGATGGGCAGCATCACCTGCTTAAAATGCCATAGCGGAAGTGTCAGTTAAAGCCTGCATAGTATTGAATAAGTAAGATTTGCTTACCACAGTGATTTGATAAATTTTATACACCATAAGCACTTTTACGTAATTTGTGTCACACCTATACTATATGTGACAATCAGTGGTAATACCATAACCTAACAGAAAGTTCAAAATACTGAAATCCCGGTTATGTCTTAGTGAATGTTTCATTAATTGAATATTATCTGTATTTCATATAAGGCCATTATTTACCGATCATTTCTGAGCATACTACTCCACCATTATGAAATGTTACTAGAACTGGTCAATAAGATATCATTCTCATATACAGGGTGGCCCATCTATGCATGGACGGAATATTACTCATAAACAAATATATTTTGGGAAAATCTATTTATGGGAAGTTATACATGACATTTAAGGGCACATTTCTAAAATATTGGCCATTATACAGGGTGTCCCAATTTCGACCTACATATGAAAGTTGTGATTTTTTAATTGAAATGCCTCAAATTTTATTGCATATTCGGATAAACCAATACAAGAGATAAAAACTGATATAGCATACAGGTGTTTTGTCTAGAAAAAAACCCCACTTCGACAACCCCTCAGTCAGCCATTTTGAAATTTGGAGTGCTAAAAGAAAACTTACACATCTCAGCTTTTATCTTATTTGTTACTTTTCAGAATTTTCATTTTTGCTCATACAGGGTGGTCAAAAACGCAAATTGTAGCTTTTCCCAAAAATTTCAAATACATCACTCTGTATATTTGTGCAAGCTTGGATTCAAATTTGATATTTGACACATAAGGGATTTTACGGATATTTTTTCGGTTATTAGCACAACGTCTTTCATGGAACGGCTTAATTCCCTAAAATATCGCATCATCCTTGGAAACAAATAAATTGTTGATTAGTTACAAACTGTCAAAATTAGCTTTGTGAGCATTATAATAAAAACGTGTTTGAAAATTTGTTTAAAGAAGAAATGGTGAATATGGTGTTCGTTTTGGGCGAAGCCCAAAGAAATAGTTTTCTGACAACTCGGATTTATAAGCAACGGTACCCTAATATGCGACATGCAAGGCCGGAAAAATTTTCCACACTACGAGAACGTTTTGAATCAAGTGGAGCAGTGGAATATAGTAAAAAATGTCTAAATAATCCAAGTGTCACCAATGAGGCGAATCAGTTGTAGGTTCTATTAAAATCCCCATTTAAGTACACAGCAAATTGGAGTAGAAACTGATATATGCAGAATTTCTATCCAAAGGATTATTCACAAGCATAGGTGCCATCCATATCACCTATGCTTGCCTCAAGGCCTTCGTCCTCAAGATTTCTCAGCGCCAATGGAGTTTAGTAGAATAATGCTAAATAAAGTGAGGGAAGACACTAATTTCCTGGATAAGGTTCTTTTTAGCGATGAGGCAACTTTTAACAGCATAGGTGTTGTCAACAGGTATAACATGCACTATTATGCGATGGAAAACCCTTACTGGAGTAGATTTCCAAAATAAATGGAGCTTGAATGTTTGGGGAGGAATTATTGGCAGACAAGTTATCGGGCCTTTCTTTTTTGACAACAGATTAACAGGTACAGAATACTTGAATTTTTTGATCGAGCATTTGAATTTGCTTTTGGAGGATGCCAACCTGCAAACTCGGATGCATATTATGTACTTCCAACATGACGGCGCATTATCATAATCGTGTGCGTAACTATTTGGACACCTGGAGTAACAATCGTTGGATCGGTCCTGATGGGCCTATATCTTGGCCCCCTGGATCACCAGATATGACACCGATGGACTTCTTTCTATGGGGCTACGTTAAGCAAGAGGTTTATAGATATCCACCATCTACCCCGGAAAATATGAAGGAAAGGATTAAGGATGCTTTTCTGAACATAAGGGAACACATGCTGAGGGATGTGCAACGGTCATTTAACTAAAGACTATGGCTGTGTATTCAATATGGTGGAGATAGTTTCGAGCAGTTTTTGTAGATTAGGTCTTGAGTACTGATAGTTGTTTGTTTAAGTTGTTGTTATAGTTGTTTTACTCTATCACGCTTGAAGCTGATTTATACTGTTCTAATTGTGATTAGTTTTTACCTCAAATCTGTACTCTTAGTGGCAATATGGAACTAGCCCACTGTTTTTTTTTGTTTCCATGGATGATGTGATATTTTTCCTTAATTTTGGTGAGTTTTTCTATCGAAAGCTTAATAACTCAAAATCTAGTGATTTCATCTGAATCAAACCTTATACCAAAAAAAAGCTTATAAAAAATTGAATCTAAAGTTGCACAAATATACAGGGTAATGTATTTTAAATTTTTGACAAAAAGTACAATTTGCGTTTTTGACCACCCTGCATGAGCAAAAACGAAAATTCGAAAGATTAACAAATAAGATAAAAGCTGAGGTATGTAAGTTTTGTTTGATACAAAATTCAGCACTCCAAATTTCAAAATGGCGGATTGGGGGGTTGCCGAAGTGGATGGTTTTTCTGGACAAAACACCTTATATCTCAGTAGCTAATTACCAAAACCCCATAGTATTTTATATCAATCTTCTTCATTTGAATTGGTTAATCCAAATATGCAATAAAATTCCTTATCTACTGCTGCTCGCCAGCGATTAGGCAAAGATGCATACATGTAAAACTCCGCCGATTTTAATTTGAAGAAGTTATTTAGGGCCGTATCGATGGACGTTCGTATAATTAAGGACGCCTTTATCTCTTCCTTGATTTTCGTAGTCCTTTCTCTTTCAGAAAGTCTAGGGTATTTCTAGATTTCCACTGTTCTGTGCCAGCGTCAGTGCGTGAAGCTATGCTTTTTTCTAATTGAAGGAAATTTCAGGCTGGTAAAACAACTGATGTAAATCAAAAGTATGAACAATTTGATGCAAATAGATATTTTGTCACATACCCTCAAAATAGAGCGCTGACACGGACAGTAGAAAACTATGAGAAGCTAGGAGGACATAAAGGCGTCCTACAGTGGTAGGAACGACTGACGGTACGAGCATTATGTATTGTTGTAACTGCGATTCATCATCGAAGCTTATTTTCCGAGAAAGGATAATAGGTGATCCAAATAAGCTAAAATCTGTTAGGGCTAAGTCTGACGAATATGACACTATTTCACAGTTCAGCTCCAGCTGTCTGGTACATTGATGTGGAGTCGAATATTGTCATTTGGCGTACTATACACCGGACTTCAAGCTTTAGATTTTTTGTATGATTAGTACATATAATACAATTTTCGCCTCCAGCAACGGGATGGTCTCAGTGGTTAAAGGTACAGCGAAACTTGTATGTCTTCCTTAAAACATGCAAATGATTTTCTATCGTGCCAAGAAAATATTTTTGATCTGCAGTCAAATCAAGTATACTGCCTTGAAGTTCTTTAATAAATGCCTTAAGTTCATTTATATCTGTTTCCACTGGACGCCCATACCTTGGTTGAGCTATCGTTACCACTGCGGAATCGGTGGAACCAATGCTTTGCTGTTGCCTTGGAGACTGTGTCATAACCTACCTTTTGGCATATGTTACGTGTAGTTCCTGCAGCAGAATGCCCAGATTGGTACTTATGCAGTAAATAATGTCGGCTTTAATATCGCTGATCTTTTCGTTTTACGTAATGACAGCGAAGTATTACTGACTCGCTCTTCATATAACCCGGTCTCCATTCTAAAAAAGAAAAACTGATGTGCTCATTGCGTACTAGCCATTTGGATAATAAAGCTAATATGCGTCAAGACAGCAGCAAAAAAATAAAAAATACTGTTGAAGAAATTACTTATTGTTCATTTGATGAGAAGTTCCAAGTACCGCCCTGTCACATGTTGCTTTTGAATACGGTTCGAAGTCATCGTCATTTGATCCAAAAATTTACCCTTTTACAGCAGTCGGGACTGTCCCGGGCTCCGACGTTAGCTACTTTCCTACAAACGGTCTTTGTACGAGATAAATAATCCTACGCGTCATGGGATTGAAACTTCCACGATTCGAATACACTAGTGAAACATCAGCAGCATCTTCCAGACTGCGTGAACTGACATTAATCCAAATGGAATATGGCATTTTTGATTTTTACAAATCCAACTTATAAACAAACAGCTTAGTTGACCTTTATACATATCTCTTCCTTTGCTAGAGGCAGGGTTGGATTAGAAATCTCGGATTTTTTCTGAACCTGATATCACGATGATCTCAAGATTTTGGTACATATTTGTTTTATAACAAAAATATATATTTTCACAATAATTATAACGTTGTAAAAGGGTCCTAACTTTAAGTTCACTCTGTAGAGATAAAATAGCTCTAGTACCGTCGCCTAACTGAGAACTGTAGTTTAATCTTCTCCTAAAGTGATATCTTATTCTTCTTTAGGCACTACGGAAAAGACCGACTGGCAAAAGCAGTACGAAGAGCATGCTCGCCAATATGGTTCAAACGCTGGCCACGGGAATATTAGGACATCTCCTCAAGAATCCAAAACTCGAGAGCAACGAGTGAAGCCTATAGTTGAGATCAATAGAGGCAAGAGTGGAGTTTTGATCAGACCTGTCACACCTCACACTCTTCCTTCCGAAGATCAAAGTGAATCAATCAGTAGCTTCTCCGATTATGTTGACGTATTTGATCCTAAAGAGCAGAAATATATTGGTCACTCAACGACACCAAGGTCTGTCTCAAGATGGCCAACTCCTATACCGACTACGGATCCAGATGCTGATTATATTTTTGAGTACGATGACGGGGAGCCGATAACTATGAAGCCAGAAAATGTAATTGTAGCTGAGTATAAGAAGAAGAAAGTGTGCGGTAAGGGAGATTTCTATTGCTCTTCGAAGATGTGTATTACGAAGGCTATGGTTTGTGATGGACATAGGGTAAGCGAATAATGCTAAGTGTACTCACCACGATATTCCAAAACTACGTGGGCTCATAATGCCGACCAAAATAATTAACTTTTGAGGTATTGATACTTATGCATCTAAGGCATAAGTGCACCATTATGGCTCTCGGCGTGACGGTAGGTACATACAAAATTTCATCTACGACCCGCAAGGATATTACGTATCTTGAACAGTGACAGTATGTCGTATTTTGACATTTTATATAGGTTTTTTTTGTGACATTATGTAGGTTTTCTACAAGATGTCAACTTAGCATTAGTTGTTGTACACTTGATGCTCCGTAGCTGTACGTTTTGCCTAAACGTCATGATGCTTCAGCTATTAATGTTAGGTTCTGATGCGATGTACTCGTAACATCTAAGCTGTACGTTGTATACTATAACTGGATGGCAACGGCAGTGCATAGTGAGGATCTGGGTGCTAATATTCTGTGTTGATGATAATTAATTAATACTTGAGGGATGTAAGAAAACCTAAACATTAGATACGGATCCGCTTTTTCTTATTCAACCTGGGAACTACATAATGTAAATTTGCTGAGTTTAAAAAAAGCGAGCGATGAGAAAAGAAAATCCCAGGTTGGTGAAGTATATGTTAGTTTTAACAGGTGAGAAAATATGTTACACACTGGAATATGTATGAAACGCACAAAAGTTATTACATTTCACACTAATTTTCATTTCCACTCATGTAAATTTCATAGAAATTTATTTTACAATGTCAAGTGGAAAATACATACAAATCAGCGCATAGATGTGAGGCAGATGTTTTGTAGGTGATGCGTGATTCCTAATTTTTCGGTGATTAATTACACACAACGCTATTAAGGTACTGATTTTCCGTAATGCTTCTAAAATTTTTGAAAACGCAAAAAAACGGGTAAAATTGCAATGTATAAATTTCAACATAACCTCTCTTCAGAAAGGAAAACACAGATAAACCGTCTGGCACACCTAATAGGTGTATTTCATAGGCAGCATATTCAGTCACATAGCAAATATCTCTGATTTTATACACATGCAGACGAATGCACACAATCATTCAGATGTGGTCTTGCTACTTTGCTACTCAACCACACATCTTCTCAGAGTATACTCTAATGGGGAACATAGATGGACGCTTTTGATGACGGACACAGCGCTCATAGCGAGCAAACGCGGAACATACCATTTGCTCAATAGGAACTATCGTGGGAGCAAGTCGACATTTTGTCCTTTTTTTACATTTTATAGGTTTTTTACGTAATAGCCCTGCGGTTGAGGGAGAAGTGAATGAATATACAAGCGTTTATTTAGCCATTAATGAAAAGAGCTAAGAACTTAGAAATACCTTTGCCTCTGATTGAAACACTCCTTTTCCTCTTGCTGGTAAAACGAAACACGCTTTTATTAAACAAAATTTTATTAACAGGACTTCATAAAATTCACCTATTACGTAAATACGGGAGGCGTACGTAGGAAATAAATCGAACCTATATTACAGTGTTATTAATGTTAAAATTGAAAATTGATATACTCGTAGTTGTTGTAAATTAGTAATTATTTGAAATTATAGGCGACTAATTTATCTCCAGGGCATAGGGACACAGTACTTGTCACGAAAAACCAAACTCGATCAGTTAGCGTTGATTTTTTGTAGTTTCCATGGTCCTCATAATTGATAATGTACCTAGATTGTCCCATATCACAGGGATTACTGTGGATCCGATAAATCACAAGCGTAGCTCAATTTGATAATACTGGCCACTAATGTTTCTTTACAGTCCTCGTAAAATTCACCACCCGCACGGATATCAAGTAACTTGAAAAGTGACATTATGCCGATTTTTTCTTGACATTATGCTGCTTTTTTTGACATTATGTAGGTTTTTCTACAAGATATTAACTTAGCACTTAGTTGTACGTCTTGCCTAAGCGTCATGAGGCTTGTTATCAATCTTTGGCTCTCAGTTGATGTAAAATCTGCTTCTGAGGTGGCAATACTGGAGGTCTAAGCTGTAAGTTGTATGTGTTGATGATAATTACATTGGGTTATTGTCTCAAATACACTTAATTGAGATTTAAGCTAGTTGCGCATCCACTTTTTCTTATCCATTCTGGAAATTACATATACAAATTTGCTGAATATCAAAATGAGAGAGATAAGACGTAATTGTATTCACTGTACGAACCCCTTCCCACATCAGTTGGTCCAACTATTGAAATCTTAGTTTTTTCTTATCAAACACAAATAATAAAAATGTAGCAGGGTGTTATAGGTTTAAAATATTAACAATGAATATTTTGATAATATATAGTAGAAAACATCAACTTTATCACTCCCTAATCAAATTTGCAGCATAAAAATAACACATGTTGCAATTACAGCATATCAACCTATTTTCATTTCAATGCAAAATGAGTCTATAACGCATAGGTGGCTGTGAAAAATAAAAGCCATGACAATTGTTTTTATTAATCACAGCTGTCAGGATACGTTTAAAATAGTTTTGGGTAGTTAAGGTTTTCAAAATGGGTAGAGGAAAGGTTATTAGTGAGAAAATTCGGTTACTGATAATTACATTTTTTAATTCTGGGAAATCAAACTCAGAAATTGCAACTTTGACAGACTTATCGCGGACAGTGTGAGAAATATTGTTAGAAGATATAACGTAACTGGTTCATTTAATATTAAGCCACGATATGTGAAAAAAAGTAATATCACAAATGCCGAACGAAGAGCATTAAGAAGAATATGTAACGGTGAAAAACACGCGTGCCAATTTTTTACAATTAAGTGTTCTGTGGAGTGACGCTGTTGGAAGGAGAATTTCGAGGTCCACAACTCATAGAGAGGCCCACAAACTGGGATTTAGCACTTGCAAGATAAGTTTTCTTATAAAAAAAAGTGAAGTAAAAACCCTAAAGTTGCACAACTCGTTTATAGGCCAAAGAAAAGCCACTATTAACTCTACTGCAAAAGAAAAATCTGCTTAGTTGGGCTAAATAAAGAACATAGACAATGGACACCTCAACAATGGTGTGCAATACAATGGAGTGATGAGGCCCGATTCGAAGTTTGTGTTGGTGACAGTCGCAGTAGAGTTATTCGCAAAAAAAATGAAGCATTCCATGTTGACTGTCTGAAGAGAAAAGTTAAATTTCGAGCATCCATTATGGGGCAGTATGTCATCAAAAGGAGTAGGAAAACTTCATTTTATTAATGGAAATGTGGATACAAACAAATATTTGTCAATTTTAGAAGAATCGCTTTTACCAGTGATGAAAGAATGTTTGACATCCGGCCAAGATTTTGTGTTTCAGCAAGATGGTGCAGCGTGCCATACCTCAAAAAAGGCTATAAAATGGATGGAAGAAAATAATGTACCACTTATGAAATGGGTTTCTAGCAGTCCAGATCTGTCACCTATTGAAACTTTGTGGCACGAGATGAAAAAGGTTCTACGACAACATCCTGCTCGTACAATCACCCAACTGAGACAAAAGCGTCAAGAAATATGGGATTGTTTTACACCAAATTTTTGACAAAACTTGGTTAACACTATGCCCCAAAGAATTTCAGCCGTAATAAAAAATAAAGGTGATGTTACCCAATGGTAATCTTTCAACTGTTGCTTTGTTAACTTCGCGCATTCATTCGCACATTGTTTATTTGTTCAGATGTTCTATTAGTTATGTCTATGGGGTTTTTTTTGGCGTTTTATAGGTTTTTTACATGATACATGATTATCGATTCTGTGTAGAAAAGAAGAAGTATTGAAATGATTTTCAGGATTGTGAAAGTGGTAAAGACGAAAAAGGCTGTGATGAATTCATTGGTAGATTTACACTAAAAAAGAATGCGCAGTTAGAGGTGCTTGAAAAGCAAAGATGGATCAATGTAAGCTATACAACGTGTGCTATGCAATGCATCCAGAGTAACACTTTCAACTGCAGATCGTTCAATTATAGGTAAATAACAGACAAGAATCTACTGATGTAACACTTGAAGCTGATCATGTGGTTTTCAAGATGCTAATCCTCCATGTCGGTATATTCGCTAAGTGAATCCACATATGTTTGAAAAACTGTTTACTGACAGATACACAAAAATATAGTCAGAATTGTCAAACTGTACTTGCCACCTTTGTGGCGGCCGAAATGTCATCGTCACAGTGTTTCAAACATATGGTGGGGCAGGCAAACATGGAGGACGGTTGAGAATCGACTGTTCTCCGTGAAGAAACTGCAGAATAGTAGGAAAAACTACGAACGAAATTAAAAGTTTTGACAGTATTTCGCACAAAACATATGGAAAATGAGTTGCAATCGTTTTGTCTGAAAATTTAGTGTGATACATGTCTCGCTCTCCTGAACAAAAGTTATCATGAGATCAAAGCAATACTATGATTAGTTTCTGAGGAATGGGGGCGGTGAAGTTTTCCGATTTGCATAAATGGTTAACTGCACAATTGCTAGAGTTTAGCGTTAAATTAAGTAAAAGGAATTTACTCAAATTTTAGAAACTAAATAAAGTCCCGACTATGGATATCTTATCGATAAGCTCGTGAAAATAACGAGGATTCAACTCATGATTGCACAGTAATTAATGGTCATTACTGCAAATGCAAATCTGAGGTCCAAACCCTACCGATGTGCGGTTTTTCTGATACGCTTTCCACGAGATGGCAGCTAGTTATCCTTCGAAGATCTTGACCAAAACCATTCGATATGCCGAAAGCAGACAAAAAAGCTCAAATCAATAGTAAATAAATTACAATACCGTAAAGCTATGTTAATATTAGTGCGCTTTTTCTTTCGCCTTCAGAATCAACATAAGACAACTTAACAACCACGGCTAGTTCATGCTCTTGTGAAGCTAATTGCCTTGTTCAGTGATTTTTTTGAATTCTCGAACAACTCCTGCCAGATACACTTCAGCGTCAGCATAAAAATATGAATTTGCCCTTAAATCGACCTTCGAAGGATCCCAGACAAGTTCAACATGACACCTCCCATCAGCCATTCTTGAAAGATTTTTAAATAGAATACTTTCCCCAGTATCGCCGAGTATTTGGGCTGAGAACTACAATCGGCAGTTTCACCATCTTTGCAAATAGGCCAAACTTCCTCCCCTAACTTATCATAGGATTGTTTGATCCCATGAGGACTTTTGTTTAGGAAAGCGAGAAATATATCATACTGAATTTTTTGACAAATCGAGTAGGACTCATTGTCCATATGTTTTGTGCGGGATCCTTTTGCGTAAGCTGGTCAAAATTCTGTTACTCAGTTATCCTTCAGATAAGCTCAAGTGGCAGATTAATTTAGCTGAACATATGAGTATATCCAAACCTGCTATCAGTTTCGTTATGCCTTAAAATACTAAATAAATTTATAATAAGAATCATGTAATGATACATTCACCTTATTTTGCACAGCTATTCACTGACATCTTATTATTTATATTACACATTCCATGACAGATTAGTGAATCACGAATAATTATAATGACTGTTTTTCTGTTCAAGGAGGTACGACAGGACCTGTTTTCTCAGCGACTTGAACATAGGTTTAACAGGAGCTCTCAGACCATACAATCCTATCGATTACTATGAACTTAGAACTGGTACGATTGACTGTTCTGACAAGTCGAAATACTTCGAATGTTCAAATAAAAAATGCTTACTAAGAGATCAATTGTGCGATGGAACTGATGACTGCGGCGATAGGCAAGATGAAAAAAATTGTTCGCCCAAAGATTTCGGATATTCTGTCAAATTGGCAGGTGCTAAGGAAGAAAACCAAGGACGTATTGAAGTTTCAGGTAGGACTAGGACCAACATTGGAGGCGTTGTGTAGCTATTATTTTATTTTAACGGTCGTCAAGGTAATAGACGTCAAAACTTGTTATTTTAGGTTTTATGATACTAATATTGGTGATTTTGAGCTAACTTCATCTCATTGTAGCGTTTGGAAAAACTGGATATATTTGCGACGACCAATTTGGACTTCAGGAGGCAAACATTGTTTGCAAAGAGCTTGGATTCGATATGGGGGCGATAGACTTCAAAGGTCAATCGTACTTTGCCAGAGATGTGAAAGAAAATAACACATTGTATATGATGGATGATTTAAAATGTTTCGGCAATGAGACAACTTTGCTAGATTGCATGTTTGCTGGTTGGGGAATACACGACTGTCAAGATCAGGAGGTAAAATTAATGTGTATTTCTTATTATCTTTCCTAACTGCGAGACTTAAAAATACAGATGAGTCCCAGTGAATCATATGGTTTCATGTGATTTATTGGTTAGAAGCAACACGTCAAAGTATGTAGAGGTTTATTCAGAATGCAAATAAAAGATCGTAGTTTCATCAAAATTACAATTACAATGTTGTGGCTTTTCAGATTGTCGGCGTTGTCTGTAAGACGCCACAAGAAAAATGTGGAAAAGGCTACTGGAAATGTGCTACAACCAACGAATGCGTGCCACTCACGTTTATGTGTGATGATTTGAATGATTGTTCAGACGATTCTGACGAAGATAGCCAATATTGTGAGGTTAGTAATATATGTATACTGTCTGGTGCAGCTATATCGAAGAAAAAATACTCTGTGCTTTTATGTTGACGCTTTGATGTTTGTACCGTCAAACTTTCTAAAGCCTGAATACTGAAGCAAAGGAACTGACAACACGCCTCTTCAAGTTATATTCAACTCAAGGTTGCTTTCTGAACCTATAGTCGCTTAACTTTTAAGTTTGCTTCCAGGATCAGTTGTGAAATTGAGCTTTCACTTAAAAAAATACGTTTTCATCTATAAAAATTATCATAGCTTTTATTTTAGGCACCAACTGAAATCCGCCTCGTCAATGGTTCATCTGTTAACGAAGGAAGACTGGAACTAAGCCATTATGGGATTTGGGGCACTGTTTGTGATGATGATTTTAACGAAGATGCTGCCAAGTTTGTTTGCAAACGTTTGGGCTACAAAGGCGCATCCACTGTCAAAAAAGAAGGCTATTTTGGTTCAGGTAAAAACCTTATTTAGTGTGTTCAAATAGATAGGACCTTTGAAATGGCAACGCAAGTGCACGGTAGAGAAAAAAAAAGATACTTAGTCACTGTTTGTTTGGTGAGAAATTTAAAGTCCCACCCTGTCTTAAGTTGCGAATAAATGCTGTTCAAAATTGTCGCTTTTGTTTCCAAAAGCACAGTCTTGTTAACACTTTTCCTCAATTTGCAACACTCGTGGCTGTTTAGGTCTTCTACTGTGCCCTCTATGACGTTCCTATAAACGGTCTTTGTACGAGATAAACAAACCTACGCGGCGCTAGATGAAAACGTTCAAGTAAACGACCTTAATACACTCATCCCAAACTAACATCAAATCGCCAGGTTCGTAAATGCTTGAGGAACGTGTCACCTGCGGTGCTTTTACTACCGATTTATAAACAAACCATTTGGTTTACCTACACGGCGCGGCTGAGAGGCCAAAATCACGTAACCTTTTTTTTTACTATTTTGATCACTTACCGGTAATTTCAATTTCTCTTTATTAATAGTAAAGTACCGATTCCTAGGCCAAACTCTTTTCAATGATTTTCTTCTGGCAAATTCTATAGTTCTATAATTTTGTATATATATTTGATTGTATAATTTCTCACGTACTATATTTGTCATTCTCAGCGATTCAGTATTGTATTGAAATCTTTTTGGACACTAATGTTATAGTATTATTAACGACTATCTGAGAAATTTCCTGATAAAATATCGTTGGACACTCGTAAACAGAGTTGACCAGCGCGTTACCTTGTGTTTACTACATGTACTGCCGTACATGAATGTTTACCTTCATATCAAGATACTTTCTGTTAAATTTGATTTACTATCAAGATACCTTCTTTACCGGCTTTTTTCTATTCATTTTGATATTCTGTCAAACATACCTCCTTCAAGGCCACTACTTTAACATTCTTTTGACGTTTGATTTCCGATCAAGTTGCTTTGTTTTGAAAACTTGGTGTATAAACGCGTCCAGCGCCATTTTTGAAACTCAAACGGAACTCCAGGCAATTGTAACAAATCCTTTAAGATCTTCAGGATGTTAACGCTTCATTTTAGCCTCTGGCAAGTTATGTTTCCTCAAATTTTTGCATGCAGGTATTCACTTCCTGATACAACAAAGCTTTTTCGTTTATTGTTTATCTGCCCACGTGACTCTCAACCTTTTCGCTGGAGATCTAAACTCAAAAGAGTACGACTGACCATCAGATGAAGGTCGTGTTCATAGAATAAACTAAATCGTGATCGTGTGAACCGTACACGATCCCCGCTGGTGCACTTTTCACTCCCTGCTCAAGACAAGAGTCATCAAAGATAGATCTCTTTGCCTTGCGAGAACGTAGCTTAACGGGTTCGTTTAGCAGGCATAAAATACGTCGGCATCATACAGGAAAGCACAGAGACGCAACAAAGAATGTCACACGATCAGTACTTACTGCGATCTGTCAGCATTTATCATGGAATGTGATATTTATTGATCGCTTAGCCATAACGTCAGTAATGATATATAAGGTTATGTAGAAAACCACCTACACTGTCGGGATGATCGGTAAATACTGATCGTGTGACAGTCGCTCTTGTTATTCAAATGTTATTGTACTGGCTATTCAGGCTCATGTTTCCCTCTCAAATATTGCAGGTTCTGGTCCAATCTGGCTAGACCAAGTCTCCTGTTCTGGAGACGAGCTGGATTTGAAACAGTGCACTACCTGGGAGTGGGGGGAACACAACTGCGATCACAACGAAGACGTGGGTGTGGTTTGTGATGACACAGAACCTGAAGTTGAGGTACAAAGACATGCCAAGCTGCCTCAAAGCGGAGATACGACTGGTTTGGCGAACGCTTGCGGGCTTAGGAAGGATTATCAGTTCATGGAAAATGATCTTATCCAAGCGAGAGTAGTGAAAGGAGCTACCGCTAGGAAAGGAGATTATCCTTGGCAGGTAAGGGGATAAATCAGACAGGGTTATAAAGTAGAAGCTGGCAGGTCCGTTTCGCAAACCTAGATGGCAAGACGACATCTGATAAGAGCGAAGTCCGTTGGCATTTAGGTAGAAGAGAGCCATATCACCGCACGTGGGTCAATGTGGAAGAGGCTTGATATTGTTTGTTAAACATTGATGTACAAGATACTTTATACAAAGTATCTGGAATATAAGATACAAGATACTTTCAAAATAAGTAATGGTCAATAAAATTGATCTTTAGGTTTGTTTTGGAAACATTTAACCCATTTATGCCTAAAGAGTTGCAAAATTTTTTTTTTATTATTTTTAAAAAACCTTATTAAAAGACGACACTTTGGAGGTATTTTCAATTTATTCTAAAAAAAAAAAATAGATAAAAACTTAGTTTTTTAGGATGTACTATACATAGTACATTAGGAATAAAGGTAGATATAAGAATAATAATAAAAAAATAGTACAAATATTTTGAAACAGATCAATATTGCAAATTTTAAAAGAGTATCATATTGAAAAAAGGCCGATATCACATTTTCTACATCTAGTCGTCGTGCGCTCATGACAGTGTACACACCTTGTTTGTTTGCCTTGTGGAATGAATCTAAGCGATCATACCTTATGTCACCAAAATTTCTTGATTTTCCTTGCTGGTACGTATAAGTCTTCTTATTTTGTGTCAAGATAGTTGTAGCTACACTTCTTCTAAATTGTAATTGATCCACGTTATTTCCTCTCTTTTTATAAATATGCCAGGCGTTTGTCATGGCCATATCTACACATTGAGAGATCAACGAGACATACCATTTTTTGCCTAGGATTTGTACTCTGTATATGTATTGAGCTATATTCTGGTCTGAAGTATCCACCCCGCCCATACATTTATTATACAGCTTGACAACTTGGGGTTGATCTACATACACAAACTTTTTTCGTTTTGAGAATACCGCTTTACTGAATTTATTGGTTCAATTCCAATGGCTGTAGACCCAAAAGTTACAATATTGTTGTCATTCCTTTTTACAAAAATTAAGTTTTTATCTTTTACTTTGGTATAATCAAATACTCCACGTTGTTCCTTTTTCATAAGTTTCGAATTTTTCAAAGAAGACATGGGTATACGATTTTCACGAATTGTTCCTGTACCACATATGCCTTTTTCAGTCAAGCTTTCAAACAAAACTGGCAAAGAAAAGAAATTATCAAATACAAAATGAAACCTAAGATTTGCCCATTTGCTTTTGAGACTATCAGCATAGCTCAATATAACTAATGCGCTAACACCTAAAGATTTGTAAGCCGCGTTCACATACGTCGAAGCACCCTGATAAGGTTCAAACCATAAGATGTAACCAAGAGTAGTAGCGCCAACCCAAAATTTGAACCCATAACGTATTGGTTTCCCGTGGATATACTGTTTACAACCATGTCGCCCGTTGTATGGAACCATTGCCTCATCAATACAATGATGCTCTTCTGGTACTGCGTATTCCAAAAAATTTTTATTTGGCAAATTTATCATTTGCATCCAGAGCTTCATTGTTTAGGAAGTGAATGTGAGACATTATAAATTCAAATTTAACGCGAGAAATAGCTTCAGAAACAAGTGAGTTGTGTGAATCACTGGATTTTTCCCAATACATCCTTCTGCGAGATACACTACTGTAGCCACTCAACAATAATATGCCTAGAAAACATTTTATTTCAGATTTGGTAACCATAATATTCCTGTTTTTCTGTTGAGCATACCGATTTGTCTCCTCAACTATTATGTTCAAAATTTCGTCATCAAAAATACTAAAAAATATCTCGGTCGGGGACTGCTCTTGTTCATTTTGATTTTCGTTGTTTACTGGAAACGCATACTCATTTCTTGGCAAATCTTCTTTTACGTAATTATATGTTTTCTTCTTTTTCACTTCCTTCCGATTATTACCCCTGATTTCACTGAGTGGTATTTCATCTTCTGAACTCCACATATCCTCGTTTTGATTCTTATTTACTTCGATCTCAGCTTGCATTAAGCTTCCTGGCAAGTTGTTGATATCCAGTCTTTATTCGTCTCCAGAATCCTCGTCGGTTATGTTACCGCATACATTAGTGGGAGGTAACAAAGTGATAGACTCAGCTTCAATGTCGTCATCTTCTATCATGGCTAGCGCATGCAAAGAAAAACCCCTGAAACAAATGTTCCTTCTCAAAATAATTACTTATTCAAAAATAATATACCTAAAACCATTTTATTTTTGTTTTGACTATGAACATATTCGTAGACCCCTTTTTTCCTGATGTACTAAATATAGAACACCTAACTTTATCATAATCTCACAAACAAAGCATAAATGAAACACATCATAAAATCATAAAATCAAGAAGCCGCAACTAAGGAAATAATATTTTCATAAAAATAAACTAGTTTTTTTAGTTTATGACATAAAAAACCTACTTACTTTGCAAAGCGCACGCCATATTCATTCATCTTATGTTTTCCAATATACAAAAACTGATTTCACATACAAAATATTGCACAATACGCAAAATTACTCCGTACTGTACGAGATCCACCCGTAAACTGTCGCCGCGAGCTATTCAATTTAACCAAATCGTACAGATATCTACAGAAACAAACAAGTGTAGGCTGTACTATTCATAGTACATTAGGCATAAATCGGTTTTAATTTCGATTTGTCTTAAAATATTACCCATGTACATAGCACGGGCCGCAGTTCTGTGCGCTTGCAAATTTGCTCGACTGCGAACTGTCTATTGAGTCACTCAAGAGAGGGTAGAGTTTCTGTCAAACAAATCATTCGACCCCTTCTTTATTATTGCTTAACCATGTTGTTTTCCTAAAGAGTCAATGCACTCGTCCCCTATGTGCAAATTCATAAAAATGCACCGAATAGAAAAAATCATATTCCTTTATATGCAAAATTATAGGTGACGTGATGTGTCTCTGTTCATAGGTCTTTCAACTTACTGACACAAAAGCAATTTGCTATTCCGATAATGATGTTATTTTTGCTGATATTGTAAAATTTTTATGATACAACGTATTACGCATCTTGTGTACGAGTATCACAACTTTTATAATGGAAATTGGTTGATTCATTAGGAATATTCAATATAATGCCACGATACGGTTGGATTTTAATGTGACTTTATGGAGGATAAGTCCTTTTAAGCAAATTGTTTTTGTTGATCTTTATCTCTTATGATTCACGTGCAATTGACATGTCGACATGTCAATAGAAATCAATGTACATTTTCTGTTGGAAGGAGGATAATAGTTTCCCGAGATCACAGACAGTACTTAGGCTTCATTTGGATCTTGTAGCACATCCTCTCTAGAGGTTCTTCAAGGCTCGATCATTAGCAAATGCAAACTGTTATAGAATGCATTGAAAATGACAGAGCTGAGTTTTTTTATTTTAATTAAAGAGGCAGACTGAAGCTTACCATTTTTAAGTCATTTGGTGTTCAGTATGAACTATATGATATGATGTAAAATTTGAAAGATTTGAAGGTTCTGGAGATATAGAGATTAGAGATATAAAAAATTCTGATTTAGAAGATGTTGGATTTGAAAGTTTTGGAAATCTTGAAAGTCCTGAAAATGCTTATTGTTTACGAAATATTCAGGATTTTTATTATGAAAATTCACAAAAAATAAACGGCAGGCGAATTAGCTGTTTCTACCCTGTATTCTTAGGCTGCCATTAGGGCAAAATCCAAGGACAAGACAGCCCATTGGTGCGGAGCAGTGATAGTGGGGAGAAGATGGGTATTGACAGCTGCGCATTGCCTTCAAGGTTATCCCAAGGGCAGTTACGTTATCGCGGCTGGCGATTATAACGTTGATGAAGACGAGGGCACTGAACAGCTCAGGTAAGGCTAAGCTCAGCTCAAAAGTTATATTTGACCGAAAAAACTACCTTTGCGGCAAATTGCTCTTATAAAGCAGGTTTTGCTCATATATGCTTATATAATTAGCTACAGCGCCATTTGTGAGACGCTTTTCAAAGTAGACTTTTAATTATTGTGGAGAGGAGCTGTGAAACCAATATTGTGATTTCTTATATAAGCGGCACCTTTGAATGTTTCCAGGTGTTGATGTGTCATTTACTAGATATAAAAACCTATTTTGAATACAAAATTGATGAAGTCACTTTAGAACGAAAATGCCTAGACGGAGCCATTCATAGTCTAACGAAAACAGCGTTTTTGTTGTTCAAAGTCTAATTTCTTACTCTTACACTAATTTATGACATCACTTGCAACTAATCCATTACAAATTTGTAAGCATGTCGACTGGACTGCCGCGTCGTGCTGTCAACTACTTTATTTTCCATCGATGAATTCCATAAGCACGCTCATGCTCATTATCGATCGACATCGAGCCTTCTTGAAAGTCGTCTAGATGGCGGCAGATACAGAATGTTCTCGACGCTTCCCGAACCTCGGCCGAATCTTCTAGATGACAGCAAGCGCTCACGCAAGGTCGCGTAACTGTGGTTGCCGAAGCGTCGATACTGCGAGGAAGTCTCATCGTTACTCAAGGTCCCAGTTATACAATGGCGTGACAATAGCTTCTAACTATATGGTGTTTGTCCTATTCCTTCGTAGGTGGCGGTCACAGTGACATATGGCGATCAGATCGCATAGCGTTTATTTTAGATAACACGGGTGCCGTGTATGTTGACTACAAATATTAAACAGTAATATTTAACTCTTTTATAGTTTTCTATAAGTACAATTATATGATTTGTGTCTGCAGATATATCGAAGAGTACTTTGTCCATGAAGAATTTAGAAAAGGAGGTCACAAAATGAACAACGATATAGCTTTGGTAAAACTTAAAGGACATGGTTTCGAGTTTACCGACGACGTGCAAGCTATTTGCCTTCCAGACACGAATACTGAATATGAAATGGATCTCAATTGTACGATATCCGGTTATGGGTCAGTGAAAAGTGGAGTCGCAGGTGAGGTTTTTGAACAAAGTAAACCATCAACTACCATGGCGTTGAACATCTAGAATTATGAATTCTAAGTTCCTTGGATACCAAAAATATAGGCTAAATTGCATCTGTGTGAGTGCCGTCTCTAGGACTGTAACCACCGTTGTTTCATACTTAATAGTATGGTATAGGTCTGGTCATTTTGAGATGAATGACTAAAAGCATACAAACGAATATGAGTCTAATGAAGTAGTATTGTAGTATACAAAAAAGGTGACAGAGGAAACCACAAGTTTTCCAGCATCTATGACCGACTTTAAGAAGCCGGATAAGGTTAGCCACCAAATAGGCGTTCCGTCGTCACTGAAGAGAGTACTACTCACTACTAATACTATTTTTAGCATATTCTCATAGAATGATGGCCGCCTGGATACCAATTTTAACAAAATCGGTCTGCAATATGCCTCATATCTACGACAGTGCTTTGACAGATGGAATGATTTGTGCTGGACTACTAGATGGGGGTGTAGATTCGTGTGATGGAGACAGTGGAGGGCCTTTGGCATGTTTAGATCAAGGTAATTCAATCAATTGATGAGTCAATCAATCATAAATCAAACCAATGAACCATTTAGCATAACCGTCGTTGAACCCCAACATCCATAGCCAAGAAAAAAATTCTCTTGAGGCGGGATTTGACTGATTAGTAGATCCATAACGCCCCCGCTGCTGCCATATCTCAGCATGTTACAGGACCTTTCAGACTATTGTAGTAACACACTATCTAGGAAATGTGAAAATGTAAAGAAAAATTTACGAAGCGTTACCTATACATTTATATAAATACATATTTACCAAAAAGGTTAAATGTAAAGGTTCAATACCTACTAGAAACCATTAAAATTACATATACAGAAGATGCAACTTCATCTTTAGTTTAAACTTCTTCAGAGTCATATTTTTCTGGTCGTTTGGTAGATAATTGTATGAGGAGGTTGCATTAAATGTGAAGGATCTTGTAGCTATAGAAGTCTTGTGTTGGGCCATAGGGAATACAGGGTGATTTCAAAAGTCGTGACCAAAAATGAAACATCATACACAGGACCGCATTTTGAGTAGGGTCTTTTACGTAATATCTTTTCCTCGAGGGCTTCATTAAAAAGATACGGGGCGTTGAAGTCAACTGGAATAAAGTAAAAGTATTGTCCACATTCTTTACTCAAAATTAACGTGCACCAGTGGCGAAGATACAGGGGTTAGTGACATTATTTTTACAAATAAAAATACTACGCGCAATTTTTCCTTTAACCTTCAATTTGCTACAAATAATTACTCTCGTGTTCTTTCCTAGAGTGCATTGTTTACGTAAAAATAAAAACAAATTAGATAATCAAAGCTTTATTTCAATAAATGTTCAAAAAGACAACTATTCTGACGGATACAAGTGCGGCATGTTTTTAATAAAGAAAAACGTATTTTCGCAAAATTTGTTGTGGCTTGAATTTGATAGAGCGCCTTATCTTTCTTTCTTGTAACTGATCAACAGTATTAATTTGTTCAGCATACACTAGTTGTTTCAAAGCGCTCTGCCACTGGTGCACGCTAATTTTAAGTAAAGGTTGATTCACATACCAAATTTTAGATCACTCCAGTTGACGGTTTTGGATACATATTGAAAAAAATGTTTTTTATTTTTAAGCTTCAGCACCCCGTATCTTTTTAAAGAAGCCGTCGAGGGAAAAATGTTACATAGAAGACTCTCCTTAAAATGCGTTCCTGTGGGTGATGTTTCTTTTAACGACTTGTGAATCACCCTGTATATCTGGAAAATTAATAATTTTGTTGGGGTGGATCATATTACGACGTGGAATGCATTTTCTGCACAAATATAAAGGTTTCTTATTGATCATTCTTTTATCTACAATTGTAAACGATATGTATGTTTGAATAAGTCTTTAACACTTAGCCAGTTCATAGCAATGGTACGGCCTGATGTGTGATCATATCTTGTCAGATTATTTATGAAACGGCAACACTAATTTTGGATTTTCTGCAAACGATTTGCTATATTATATTGGTCTAGGCGGGGACAATATAATGGCATATACTAAAGAAATAGAATAGAAACAACTAGACTTTCACAAAAAATTTTCTTGAAAAATTTGGTGACAATGGTTTTGTTGATATAGAGAAGCCTTGATGCTAAATAGCAGTTATTCACTATAAGAGCGACGTGATCTCGAAACTTAATTTTTTATCAGAGGTTTTTTACACGGTCGGAAAATTTCAACTGCGATTTGTTGTTTTCCTTAAAAAAACTGGATTTTTTCTGGGTCGAATAAAATTATTTGGGTCTTTTTCAGTGTTTTATTTAACAGCATTGTCCTTTGCATAATTATAGACTATTTCTAGATCCTTGCTTATAAGTGAGGTAGCGTTTTCACGATTATTTGAGTGGAATAATAGATACATTCGAGTATCGTCGGCGTATGTCATTATTTTACAATTTTGATCAAATTTGAGGTGTGTAGTGTGGATAGTAGTAGCCCTAAAACAGAACCTTGTGGTACGCCAGATTTTATTAGGTCAAGAGATGAAGTCTTCTCAAGTAATGAAACCTTTCACACTCCTCTTGGGAATTTGTCAAAAATGTGTCGATTGTACTGAAGCAGGTCCGAAAGGTATACAATGACGAAGAATTTTAAACACATGTGGTTTGATTAACAAACATGAGAATTGTCAATTTATTCCTTAGTTGTTTTTCTTGTGGATACTAGTTACGTCCGTTTTGCAAGTGGAGCGACACAATCCAAACTGAGAGAAGACTGTCAAAGTAAATGTCTGGCTCACTTTGGAGTTCAAAATATTAAGCTAACCTTTATCAGAACATAATAAAAAAATACGACGTTTTTTGTGTATCAAGGAACTACACTCAAGACAAAGCAATTTTGCTAGTATATGTGATCATAATTTGAATTCAGTGGATTTTGCACATAAACAAAATAAACTGAGCCTAAAAGCTTTAAGCTGTGGTTGGTCTGCTGGTAATGTAGTTAGGGCAAGGGGGAGAAAAAGAATCCACCCCACTTAAATTGAGCTTTAGTAAAAAAAAAACGTGCCGTAAACTAAGCAAACTAAAGTATAGCGTATCTTAAATTTTGGGTAAAACTAACGAGACTATAGAAGCCTGAAGCTGAGCGGACGGCACATCAGTTTCCACTTTATTTTCCCTTATTCTAGGTTTATTCACATTGTATGGACTAACATCCTGGGGACACCGTTGTGGGTTCGCCAATAAACCAGGTGTCTACGTCAAAGTTGCGCATTATAGGCAATGGATAGAAGATACAATACAGAAACATTCATGATTGCGAACGAACCGGAGACCAATTCTATTCAAATTGCACGGGAAGAAAATAGTCATTTAGATCGGAGGGCTCTGATGAGCAATCGGTGTTTGTGGTAGTTTGAATTTGCTTTTTTATTTACGAAGATGTTAGAAATGTTGAAAATAAAGGCAGTTTATAAAGTTACGAAAGCAGTGTTATTTTATTCATCCCCAACTTATACGCCACAAACTATCAAGGTCACTTTTTTCCTGAATGCGGCTACACGTTTCGGATTGAACATTTATTTCTTGCTTTGGAACACATGAAGACCACCTGTTGCTTTCTGTTCAACATGTGATTGGCACTAAAAAACATCATATCGCCTTCAACACTCTGATTGATTATTATTAAAACACAAATCTCGGAATGGGCAGTAGGAACAAATGGAGCCTCCATAACAGCTGAAGTTTTACTGTTGTATCGATCGACATGGGTGCATAGAAAGTTTACGGTGCACATACAATAATACCTAAAGAGACCCTTATAGAACTGACAGTAGCGGAATGGTAGAATCGCAGAATATTTAAATCAGAAGCTACACCCAGGCAATTTTCAGACGCCGCTAAATAAGCGATCGGCAACGGTAGCAGACCAGATCAGAGCAGCTCATAACAAGGCACCAATATATCATTAACTTTTATGGATTACTGTATACAGGTAAAGTCTCTGATAGTCAGAAATTGCTTGATAGAAATAGGGAATAATTTAGTGAGAGGATCGACCCGCTACTGGCGCTAGTTAAGTAATTTGTGCAATGCATGAAGTGCATTACCTACACCTACAAGACCGTGCAGAGTGTCCCAACGAAGATGGAAAGTAGTTTTATACGCAAAATGGTAAATATATCAAGCATGTGTTTTCGTGGCAACCTTAATATGTTACTAGTGCATATTTTAAAATTATTTTAATGTATACCGGGAGTTTCAACTTCGTACCGTAGCAAACATATATTTTTTTAAATAGAACACCGTATATTTTATTACGTATATAATAAATAAATAATAAGTATTGATTAATCACATAGTGCAAGTCAATAATTAAGATAACCCACCACATGTATTCACTTAAATTATAAAAATACCGCTCAGTCAGCATTAACTCTTTTTTTAGACATGTTATAATCAGCCAGAGATCGTACATCATGAGGTGTAAAGCACAACACAGTTGTAAAATGTTAATTTTTGAATAAAGATGTATTATGATTTTGTACCAACATTAAGTTGGTATACCGACTCACATAATTGCTACATCTTTTTAAGCTACTAAAGTTACTAGGGTAAAGTTTGTCAAAACACACACACTTTAAAATAAAAAAAATATATGCACGTCACAGTTAAACTTTTATTATAAATAGAAATCTCTCTGCAGCTGTCTCGTTCCTTTTATTGAAAACTAGCCTCAAAATTCTTTTCTGCGTTAAAAATAATATTAAATAAATATGCTAGACTGTAATAAATAGATAGCAGCTCATCTTGTCCTAGCATTGTTTTTTACTGGAGTAAAAGCATAGAACGTCTGATTCAACCGATCACAGACATAATCGGCATGTTCAGCAAACAACTTTGCATCAAAGATCGTGCCTAATAGCTGGTCGACGAGGCGAGTTGAAGATTATTGGATTGTATTACATTTAGAGGTAGTTGCTTTTGCATGTAATAATTGATGATTAGAATAGTGTACCTTTTTTTAAAAATCTCAAATGAAATACCCTGTATATTTCTACATCAATAAACTCTTGTTTTGATGAAGTTTTTTTGATATGAGGTTTATATAATTTTTTCCAAAAGTTTTTGAGTTATTGCAATTAATTTCAAGAGGATCCAAATACATCTTGTATTTAAACATAAAATCAAATCTTCAGTCAAAACGATACCTTCTATTAACATAACAAAAATAATCTCAGCCTGAGGCAATCAATCGTTAATAAATTATTCTAGTTACCTTGGTGCAAAGCACACAAGGCCAGACGATTGTCAAAAGTATTTCTACATGTCTAAAAGGGTTTGTCTTGGTATCTGCTTAAATGACTAGCTTATAGGATATTTCATGTCCAGCTGTTGTAGGTTTCTCCTGGTATAGGTCTCTTGAGAGGCGTCAGATCGGGAGATCTCGCTGGCCAATTGATCGGTCCGCCTCTCCCTATCCAACTTTTAGGGTGTGAGATATGGTAATTCGAGTTAAATATAATAGGGAATCGTGTTACGCAGGTTGCAGAAACAGCGTGGCTATGGAAGAATACAGGACCTGGATCAAACAGCTGGGAATCAATAGAACTACTTGGAATGTCTTATAACAATATCATAATGAATGATTGCCTTGGGTTAAGATGAGTATTGTTGTGCGAAAAAAATGTCATTGTTTTCAGGGAAGGTCTGATTTTAAGTCTAATTGTGGAATATACAGGGTATAAACGTTATAATAGTCATTATTTAAATGGGTGATATAGAGGTTAAAAAAAGCAAAAAGTTTCATATAACATAGAGGTCAAAACGGCAGTTTTTTAGAGAAAACCGACATTGAAGTAAAATAAAATCTGACAGCGCCGCAATGCCAGCCGCAAATTACGACCGAACGCAATGTAAATAAAGATGGAGTTTGTTATTTTTGGCTCTTAGGTGTTATTTCATCATTTGATAATGTACTCGTAAAATGCCAACAATTATAAAAAGCATACCACTAACTGTCTCAGCGCTTCACCTGGTGTGTGAAAGTTTATTGAACGTATTAAAAAAATCCACTTATAAATAGGTAACACAATTTTGATACATACATTGTTTTTCTTTTTAAAACCCACACTGCACTTTTTTTGTATTTAAAGAAGGTGCTCAAAATGTCGTCCTCCACTTTCCACACAAGCTTGATTCCGACGAACCCAGTTTCTTCTTACTCTAGGTCCTCAAAGTTGTCCATTCATTATTTCACCCGCATTAAACATTTTTTCGCGAAGTTGTGCTTTAGTTGTTATTGGACCAGCCCCATAAACCATCCCTTTGAGTTCTCCCCAATACCAGAAATCCATCGGATTGAGGTCAGGAGATCTTGCTGGCCATTTTCGAGGATCAGGAGCATTTCGACCGATCCAGCGATTTGGATAAGATAATGTTCATTCAAATACTGAACGACCTCTAAAAATCTGTGGTGGTGCCCCGTCATGAAGAAACTACAAATTCTGTCTCCGTTGTAATGACATGTTGTCTAAGGTCTGTTCCAAAAGTTCTGGTAGGATAATAGCTAGAAAGATAAGGTATCCTTCTCCTGACAACTTTGGGGGTAACTCGAAAGGGCCAATTACCTGATCGTCATGAATACCCGCCTAAATATTTATTTTAAAACGTTGTTGGAAATGACCTTCACGAATGGTATGAGGATTTTTTGGGCCAACGTGTGAATATATGGATATTTAATATCCCGTCTCGCGTAAAAGTATCCGTTCGTCGCTAGAATGCTTTTAAAAAAATCCGGATTTTCAATGTTTTTGTGCAAAAACCACTGACAGAATGTTAGTCTGCGAGGATAGTCTTCTGGTAACAAGGCCTGCACTCGTTGTACATGGTAGGGATAAAGCAAATTTTCCCGTAGGATTCTATGGACTATGTTATGCGATAGTCCTATGCGGCGGCCTAATTCCCGAGTGCTGATATCCGAATTGATTTCCACGATATTTAGAATTTGTTCCTCCTGCTCTACAGTAACCTGTCTTTCATCACGAGTGCGAATATTAGTGGGCTGAACACTTCCTGTATCTCGAAGTCTTTGGTACGCTTGCACAAATGTCCCCCTGTCTGGGTGTACCCGTTGGCGAAATCTATCGCGATAAATTTGAGCTGCAAGATTTGAATTCCTACAAGCTTCACCGTAAACTAACAACATGTCGGCGAACTCTTGATTTGAGAACATTGTAAATAAACATGACGACGTACGCGAACAATAACTAACCACTGTTACCGTTTGCGATCGATTGCCGGTTCGATAAGAGTGATGAAAGTCCGACGCGCTGTTGTCATGTGTGTTTTAAATATTTAATTAAATGAAACTTACCTACTTACTGACTGCAAATTTTGGCTAAACTTAGAAAAACTGTTGACTTTTGGACCATGGGTCATATGAACTTTTTGACTTGTTTTGAACCCCCCTATTACCCATTTCAATAATGACTACCATAACGTTTACACCTTGTATTTTTTCCTGGAATTAATAGCAATAACTCAAAAAACCGTTTAAAAAAAGTTACCAAGGAAAAATATCCAAAGATATAAAAATATACATTTGAATTTTATGAGAAAAGGCACAATTTGAATTTTGACATGCCCTAAAATCGATGATAATAAAAAATTTTTGTGAAATAAAATTTATCTAAATATCTCCAAAAATTGCAAAGCTGCGAGTCGCCAAAGTTTATTTTTTTGACAATCAAAACCAGACGTTATCAAACCTCTTCTTTTTAGAAGCTCTATCCAAGTATGCAAAAATATAGGGTATTCTATTTAAAAAATACAAGTTTGCTATTGAACGAAGTTATGGAACACTCTGTATACATTAAAATGATTTTAAAATATGCACTAGTAGCATTTAAAGGTTGCCACAATCACAGATTTTTGATATCCTTTCCAGTTTGCTCATAAAGCAACTTTCCATTTACGTTGGGACGCCCTGTATACTGTGATAGACTCATACAAGATATGCTATACATATTCTTTATTCACAAACAAAAAAGCTACAAAATAGATATGAAAAAAATACCTGTACATTATTAAAACCTTACTGAAGCCCCATCACTTCTTGCCACAATCTGGAGGTTTAGGAGGGCACTCGGGTTTCTTTGGGGCACAAGCGCTTTCATCATCTTTCTTTTTGACAAACTGCACAAAGTCTGCAAGTCTGTTCGCGTACCCCGCCTCGTTGTCATACCAACTGATTAGTTTGACAAAATTCTCGTTCAGCATAATACCAGCGTTCGCGTCGAATATGGAGGAGTAGGGACTTCCGATGATGTCTGTGGATACGATATCTTCCTCGGTGTAACCCAAAATGCCGCACATTGAGCCTTCCGCGGCCTCTTTGACTGCACATTTGATCTTTTCGTAGTCGGTTGGTTTGCAAATTCGGATGGTGAGATCAACCACTGAAGCGGTTGGTACGGGTACACGAAAGGCCATTCCTGTTAATGAAAAAATGGCGTCAGTCTACAGAGAAATCAAATATCACGGACGACTTAATGTGTACGAGAGAGAAGCGTGCAATCAGTTGGGTTGCTAGGCAATCTGGTACTGCTATCTCTTTCTAGCATACGTTGGTGGTAGAGTAAAGGCAGCATATTCGGATTACTGCAGGTAACTTGGAATACTTAGTTATCTAAGTAAATGTGAACTCCGTATGTATTTTTTTGCCGTAAATATAATGTCGTAAATCAATCAAAAAGGACGAAATATCGAAATATCCTGCTACAAGCCACACCGGAACGAGACGTCTACTTTTTCGGTAGGAATACAAACATTGATAATCATTTACTCTGATCCGTAAAATCTTCATTGCAATTATTTGAACTGTTATGTGTTCTTGTTAGTTTACAATTTCATTTTGACTTTGAAAATTTTAGAATTGAAAGTGTGACAGAATTTTATGTTAGGTTGTCATGTTGTTAATTTGCAATATTCCAAACTTAATGCACACATTTATGATACAGGTAATTAATTCATGTGTTTTTTATAAATTTCAACATCCCAGAAATACAAGAAAAGAAAGAGATGGGAAAAGGAGGAAATGTGCTTGATATGCGCATTATGGGGTCACGCTGCTTGTAGTGGTTATAAATCCGGTGTGTATATCTGTGATTATTGTAAGAATAGTAACTAAGGACACTAAAATATAAGTTTAGGCTAAACACTGATTTGTGATTATTGTGACTGATAAAAAAAGTGTAAACAATGGTAAAAAAAGTGATTATAATTTGGAATACTATATGCCCAATTACCTGCACCCTAAGTAAGTTTACGCTTTTGGAGTTTTTCATTTTGATATTTTGATGGGGTCCTGGTTTTTGTTTTGTTCGATTGCTTATATCATTAAAATTAAATGTCTCAATAAGTTAATGCATTTTCAATTTCGCTATCCTGTTTATCTTGAAATTTATTTCCAAAAAACAAACGAGTATTTCAAATATGCTGCAGTTCCTTTATATGGACTCTGTACAGTCCAATAATGCGATCTAGCCTTCTGCCCAACCTACAGCACTGACCATCCAGCAACGTTACAGTCCAGCAAGGGATTATGCACGAAAACGCGGCTCTGTCATCCCTAGCCATCCAAAGCAGGGAGGCGGCGCTCGTTGAGTTGTCCTGCACGCGAACGTCAAAGATATATCTTCCTGATTCAACTATTAAGTGTATGGGGAAATCTAGGCCTATGACATACACATATGTCTGATAGATGCGTAGAATTACCTCGGTTGGAAACATATAAGCTGCTAGCTCCGAAAAAATTGACATATACCATCTCCCACTCCCAACATAAAATTTTCGACCCCTGCACAAACGTTTCTGAAAATAATCAGGAGCCTGGACCGTCGAAAAAATAAAATTTGATTTATTTTCATGTTTTTCATGTAAAAAATTCATTCAAATGTTACAAGCGGTCCAAAGGTTAGCGGATTGACAGACCGACAGACGGAAAGAAGTGATAAGGTTTTTCGTGATATACTGTGATATAACGTCGAAAAAACTTCTTATATTCGAAATTATTCGCGAGTACCAGACTTGCTCGCCCAATGGCGTTTTGAAAGTCTTGGAATTTCGTAAATTGTGAAAATTTCGAGTTATCAACATTTTGAAAATTCTGAAGATATAAAGAACATTGTAAAAATTAAACGTTTGCAAATTTTGAACTACGAAGACTAAAAATTTTGAGAAACAGAAAATTTGACAAATTAGATACTTGAAAAGTCTCGAGAAATATGATAATCATGAACATTTTGGAAGTTGAGGGTATTGAGAATCTTGGAAATTATGGCTATGATGTTATTGACAATTTTTAAAAACATTGACAAGCTTGAAAGTATTTGCAGATTCAAGGATTATTGAAAATATGACACTCTTGAACCTTTTAACTATATCGATGAGCAATTTTTTAATTCTGAGAAATTTTAAAACTTTGAATACTTATAAATAAAGAAATAATTGAAATCATTTATTTATGCAAGACACAGTCATTGTATGAGCACATATCATTTTTGATACATTATCAGAAATGTTTTAAAACCTTTTTAAAGCTCTTAAAAAGTGAAGCTATTATAGTTATTTAACAGTTAATATTCTCAAAGCATACTATAGGTTCCGTTACATGACACATACATCTAAAAACATTCAGAACCAGCGTCTAAAATGTCTGATATCGTAAATGGAGCAAGATGTAGGGGATATTGCTTAACAATAATTTTGAAGTTATTTGATTAAAGGCGTTTGGTCTGCGGTGCTAGTTTATTGTCTAATTTGACAGCAATAAATTTTGATCTGCTTTGCCACTTCCTTAGTCGGCAGAAAATAGTCCTGATTTTATTCCTATTTCTTGGTCCACATTTATACCGTTTTGCAGTTTTTTGAAAAACAATATACTTTCCAGAACAAAAACAGCAGGAAAAGTCAATATGCTCAATTTGACAGATGCTTCCCTGCAGTCCTCCCGAAAAGGTAATCCTGCTAGTATTCTTATAGCCTTCCTCTGTAGCCCAGAAACTCTGTTTGCATGAGTTGCTCCACCCCATGCCATAATTCCATAGCTCATTACAGAATGAAAGAGGCCATAGTATGCTGAATCTAATTAGATATGGATCTTTGAAGTCGATGGAGCAGAAAAACTGTTCCTCGCAGCCTGTTAGAAACAGCTTCTTCATGAGGCAACCACTGAAGGTGAGCATCTAGGTTTATTCGTAAAAAAATTGATAGACCGCTGATCCTTATTACTCAGGTCTCAAAGTCTGTTAGCCTGGAGTCATTGCTCAGCCCTCATCCGTGCAACCAACAGATCCTGCTCCAAATCAAGCGTTCGAGTGCTATGTATGGAAACTTTGATATCATCAGTAAAGAGCGTGTAAAAGTCTTTGATGTAGGATATAAAAAAATAAGGGGCCAAGAACTGAGGCCCTGTGGCACCTCTACTTTCAACTCTCAATCTGATGACACGGCATCCCTCAGTTGCACTTTCTGGTGTCGGATTTCAATGTATGATTTGAGTACCGGTATAGTGGAATTGCAAAATTGTTATGCCTCCACCTTTTAAAGCAAGATCGTATGTGATACACAATCGAAGGCTTTACTTAAAAAATATAATATATGGAATAGTGTATGCTGGGAGTCTCACTATATTTTTTCCATGTATTTTTCCCTCTAAACGAGAATCTGAAGTTAAAATTAAGGGAAGATGGACACATATGAAAGTAATTTAGACATTAGGATTAAGCATTTTGGTATTTTATGTGGATGTACATCTCTTAGACACTTCTAAATAGATGCAAATTTAGCAAAAATATCAAAATGTGTGATGCCTGATATATTTTTTTATTTGTTCGCCGACCTCCAATTCTGAATTCAGATTCATGTGCAGCATGATAAAAATAATGGAAAGAATATTGTGGCCTTCCAGGGATACACCACTTTTTTATTTTGTGGGCCTTTGATATTATTTGTAAAATTGTTAATTTAGAAAATTTTGAACGTATTGTAAATTTTCAGAATTACCAAAAATCTGAGAGGTTGGACAATACTGAAGATTACGGGAAATGTTGATGTGCATATCGCAAATACTTCATTTCTTACTTTAAAATGAAATATAAGGATGTAACGAAAATATAATTTTTTATTTAAAGAACCTTCTGCTTGTTATTTTATAGAACTTCAAAGTTGCATTTTGGATGGAAGAATAGAACACTGATTCCTAAGCTGTTTTTGTTTGCTGTATAGTACTAAGGGAAATAGATGTGAAACTGTAAAAAATCGTTGTTTATTACAAAAGAAGGTTAAAAACTAGCCGTGTTATAACACATTAGCTTATTAGCTAAAATAACAGTTTAAAATACATCCGTAAATGATGGAATTTACTTGGTAAACTGTGTAGAGGTGTTGTGTTGTGATTTTTCAATATCTTCTTGAAATTCTTTAACCATATTTTCGCGTATTTTCAATGAGATCAAAGTTTTTGCATTTATAAGAAATATTTGAAAGTACAATTTTCAATGGCCATCTTATAACGTTTATTTCTTGACAGATAAGATAAATGACGTCTATTGTTGCCAAGATGCACTTTTTTTTGGTAGAAATATGTAATAAAGAATGAGGTTATTTCCAAAATAAAAGTCTTAATTTATTGTAAATGTCTTGTTTTACGAGAAGTTGTCCCAACATTTACTGAAAACTAGATTAAATTTTGAACAGTGTGTATCTAGACAATGGAAACTGCACCACCGGCTCTAGTGTCATGAAGCATACAAAAGGCACCAGCGTTCATTGCATATAAAAATACCCAACTTCGATTCGTCGATTTGGACCACGTCGCCAGGTCCACCCAACATATCGTCGACCAACATTATAGTTGAATAAAGATCAACGACCATTTCATCGACTCATCAAAAAACTTGCAAAATTCTTCTGTGTTATGTTTTCATAATTTAATGACTGGCAACAGCTAATTTTTCAGTAATTTCTCATATATAAGTGGTATATATATATATAGAGAGAGAGAGAGAAAAATAATCATGTGGAGAAAGGTGTATAACAAAATATAGGAAAATGAGTGGCAAAATCCGCAAAGAGAAGGAAAGTGGATACGAGAAGAAAATAGGATAAGTAACCCGAGCGATACTTATTTCGGCTGGTTGGCTTCATCAGGCCCGAAATGAATACACATATGCAACTATAAAAGTAAATACACATGCCCATATGATCTGGATACGGGTGTAACCTGAGGAAACGAAGATGGAGAGGGGAAACAATGTCACACAAAGTACACAACAAGAGCCAGCCTACACATTGTAGTATAAAATGGCTAGAAGACCTCGAATTTTCAAGGCAACAACTAACCACAACCATACGGCCGGTTATAGCTACTTGCTGAGGTACTTTAAGCCCAAAGGATCTACACAAAGAGAAAATCATAATGCGGAGAAAGGTATATAACAAAAAATAGGAAAATAATGGGCAAAATCCGCAAAAAGAAGGAACGTGGATACGAGCAGAAAAAAGGATAAGTATCCCGAGCGATACGTATTTCTGCTGGTTGGCTTCATCAGGCCCAAAATGAATGCACATATGCACTACAAAGGTAGATACCCACTCGTGTGTCATTTTTTTTTCGCCTCCATCTTCGTTTTCTCAGGTTACACCGGATGTATGGGCATCGCAATAATACAAAACTGCATTATTGCGATGGACAGTGTCACAATAATATAATTTTGAGAATTCTTTTGTGTAAACAAGAGAAAACCAGCTTATAGAACAGTATTATACAACACAGTATTACCACACAAACTGCAACTTTGAAGTTCTATAAAATAGCAAGCAGAGGGTTCCTTAAAAAAATGATATTTTCGTACAAGTTACATCCTAATCTTTCATTTTAAAATAAGAATCAGACTATACCTGCTATAGGCAGAAACCGTAATTTTACAGGGGACGAATAAAACCCTATCAATTTTATACTACCGGCCTTAAGAGTCTAGAACTTGGGTCACAAAAATAAATGACGTATTTTTTAATGCGTTTTTATCTAAAGGGGCTTTGACATTATGCTTATTGACTGGTACCAGTCGACAAGTACCTACAATGTAAACACTGGCTAGCGCCAGTCTCGTGCTTATTTTACTAGCGCTAGCAAAGTTAAAATCATTTGTACTTTTGTGTACCAGTTAAAGAAATAAAAATGGCGCCTATGCACAAATGGAGTGAAAATGAAACGTTAAAATTTGTGAGTTTATATAAAGAATGTGAAATACTGTGGAATGTTCACGATACAAATTATAAAAACAGAGAAAAGCGAAACAAAGCATTTGAATACATACAGCAGGAAATGAACATGAAAAACTTGACCCTGGATATGATAAAGAAGAAAATAAAAGCGATCAGAGATACCTATCACTTGGAGAAAAATAAAATAACAAAGTATAAGAAATCTGGGGCATTACCAGATGACTTATCCACCCCAAGACTTGTTTGGTTTAATGAAGCCGCTACATTCCTTGAGTACTGCGCTGGTAGAGAATGTTCTAGTAGTCTGGTATGGATTTCAGCAAATTTATTTGGGTAATGACCAATTACGTACTTTTCAAAACAAATACTCATTTGATTTTATATTCTTTATAGTAAATTAATATATCTAATAATACTTTCCTACATGATAAATCACAAATGACCTCAGTTGAGTCTTCCGAAGATATAGATGGTGGCGAACTTGAGGGAATTTCATCAAAAACATTCGTACCAGCAAAATCCAGTAGTGATGGAAGAAGCATACCAAGTGTTAAAAGGAAGAAACAAAAAGATGTTCCAGATCATATTTCAAGCGCAATGGAAAAACTGCAGGATCTCAAAAAGGTTGTTCAGGAAAAAGATTAATTTGACTATTTTGGCAAGAATATAGCACACCAATTAAGAAATTTGTCTATTCAACGAGCTCTAAAATGCCAGACAGAATTCATTCCAGCAAATATTAATGGAAGAGCGACTAGAGTATGAAAGGGAAAAATCTTCGTCTTCGCGGTCTTCACATTCCACCTGTTTTAGTCCAGTTGAAAGGGCTTTACAATCGCCGACAAATGCAGAAGAAATTCAACAAGATGGCTACAGCAACAGCTCACTAAGGTGTTACAATTCACCACAACAATCAGTTTATAATGATGTGGAAGAAAATAGCGAAGTTCAAAATACTGATATTTTGTCTGCAGCAATTGGCGACTTGTTTGAAAAGGCAGAGTTCTAAATTGAGATAACGAATCTTTGACTAACATTTTCCTCTGCATGTTAGACAAACAAAGGAAAACGGTTTTGTTCATTTGTACTTGTTGTTATTTATTGTAAGTACTAAGTAATACATAATTATGTTTTCAAAATATGTATGAACACTAATTCAATAAACTTTTGATTACCTCATTAAATAGCTTTATTATTTCAAGATTATTATTTTTATGTACAATTTTGTCCTGTCGGAAATTTTACATCACTAATCACAATAATTTTACACTGTTTCTTAAATCATATTCTATTGCCAGTCAACAGCCCCATCATTCATAAAATATTCCGCATAGTTGTCTCGTCGGGTAGCTGCTCCTTTAGAATAATTGTGAGAGCCCCAAGAATGACCCGGCTGAAGCACTTGATTATTTGCTACGTCTTTCCTCCATGATCCAGTTATTATATTACCAGTATCAATATCTTCGTAATCGGTTGTTCCTGGTGGTATGTAAGTATTTGCTGATGTTCTTCGTAACCAGTTATGTAAAGCACATGTTGTTCTTACTATATAATCTACCTTATCCGGAGATACTTCTATACCACGTAAAAATATTCTGAATCTAGATACAAGAATCCCAAAAGCATTTTCGGATATTCGTCGAGCTCTCGAAAGACGATAATTAAATATTTTTTCTTTTTGGGTAATTTCATTCCTTGAATACGGCTTCATTAAGTAGGTTTTCAGAGGGAACGTGTCAGCTCCGACAAGAACTCCCCAATCTGGGAAACGCAATGTATTACTTTCCAGTGCGGTTTTCAAACGTGATGCCCCAAAAAGGCTAGCATCATTCATTCTTCCGTTGGAACCGACATCGATGTATAAGAATTCATAATTACTATCAACCATAGCAAACAGAACTGTACTAAAGTACCCCTTATAATTATAAAAATAGCTTCCACTATTTGCAGGGCACTTTAAACGTATATGTTTCCAATTTTTGCCCCGCAACATCCTGGAAAGTTGCACCTTGAATGAAATCTATCAGCAATTACTTTCCATTTTTCTTTAGAGTCCGCAATCTTTATGTAATCTTGTAGCACCGCATATATTGCGTTAAGAATGTCTACTAGAAATTTTGAAATTGTACTTTTTGGAACCCTGTACATATGTTCTAGTGTGCTAAAAGAGTCTCCAGATGTTACGTAGCGTTATGTAATTTGATGATTCAGTTCCGGAGTCAACGCTTCCCTGAACGAAGTATCTTGTTTTCGTATAATCGGAGTAACGCATTGTAATAAAAACGAAAATTGATCTGGAGTCAGCTGTAAATGATTCGTGAATGTTTGGGGGTCAGAAAATTTTACTTTCACTGACACCAAAACGTTTTCGTTGTACAATCCATTCCCGCGTCCACCACCTTCTTTGTCGACGACTTCTTTTATGTGCGATACTTCTTAATTCCCCTTGTGACATTGTAGCCACTATTTCAATCCCTTTTGCTAATACTTTACTCATTTTCACGAATTGACAGCCATTCCAAACCATCAAACTAAAATGTAATTATTTTAGTAGCACAACTGCACAACATAGCACATACTAGTATGAAAACAGGACAAGCAGTACCAGCGAACTAGCGCTAGTTTGATAGTACCAGCCAACAAGCATAATGTCAATGCCCCTTAAATGAAGCCCTAATTGGCAAAATTAGTGCAGATAGCTGATATTTCTGCTAACTTTCTTTGCAGTTAGCAGACATTGCACTATGATGGATTTAGTGAGATTCGTGCTTCATTATATCAAATTAAAAGTTTAATGCTTTTACAAATCAAAAAATAATAGCATGTATTCTCAGTTACACCTTAAATGAACGTTCAGCTTTTTTCCTTGACATATGGCAAATTGTCGTAAAACATGTGACAGTCCTTAGACATAACACTTATAATATGAAATGATGGGTGGCTGTTTTGGTCTCATAGGCAACTCCTGAGGCTCTACACTGAAGTCTAGTATCACTTCAATTTTTACATCGGGGTTATAACTTTGATGTCCGTGACTACACTGTCCCTGCCTGGTCTAATTGTTGAGTATCGCTGCACCTCTGTTCGAGAGTAGTCCTTGAAGAAGTCGTAACTCAATTGGATCCCCTCATATGGCTCTGGTTTTGTCCTAGCTTCTTTTGACGCCTTAACATAGTCATTTGGTAATCCAATAACTTTATTTCTCAGTTTTCTTTAAATGCAACTGTGTAAAGAGTCACATTCCATTTGGGTGTGTCCTTTGGTGAGATATTTCTGAGAAATCACAACGCCGTGTTTTATTGCAAAGTTAAGAAAAATAGCACGCCTAATTATCAGATAGCTCGATGTTTTGAAAATCTTGTAGGTTTTAACTCTATTGGCATCTTCACTAGACTTACCAGTAAGTTTTCCCTGCAGCTCAGGTATGACCATGCCCACGGCTCTGGCAGCTCCCGTAGATGCAGGAATGATGTTGCACATCGCCGATCTACCGTCTCGCCACGCTTTCTTCGCCATACCATCGATGACCTTCTGCGACAAGGTCACCGCATGCACTGTGGTCATGAGGCCTTCTGCGATGCCGAAATTGTCGTGGATGACCTTGGCCAATGGCGCGAGACAGTTCGTCGTGCACGATGCCATGGAGACCACCTAGAATTTTATTTTCATTTATAATGTTGGAAATATGAGTGTTTTTGTTTTAGGATTCTGTATTTTAGGGGCTGCAATTTGCCGGCAACCCGATTCGGCATTCTGCACATGACTTAGGAGAAAAAACACCCAGTAATAATGAATCTGTTAAACAATGCTTTGTATGCATGTCTCTTATAAGGCCGTCAGTCACGATAAAAACATTTGTTTATAATTCGGTATACAATTTTGTGAATTTTTTTTTTATGAATTTGGTAAATTTTTTTTCTACCAGTTACAATCCTTTCTGTCCCGTAAATAAACTATCATAATTAATTTCGTACGAAATCATTAGCAGTCGGTTGAAAAAAAGCTATAGCTGTCAACTTCGAACTGCCATTTGTCACGTCAAAGTCATTCTAACGTCACTCGTTGTGGCTTGCTTCTTTATTCCTTTATTGCTTTAAACGAATCGAAAATGGAGCGATCCAGTGAATCGCATATATTATATGTGACTGCAGCAGCAGCGGTTTGCGTTGTAGCTGCACACCTCATGAAAAAACGAAGTAAATGAAACCGTTTGAGGTTAACATAGTACATGTAATTCTTTGTTACGTAGTGCTCATAGAAGCCATTGTACTGCTTCAAATGCACCTTTGCCGTCTATGCACTTTTAGCATATTATTTGGAACGAGTTCTAGAAAAATTAAAAATTAATTTGTTCAAACAAAATTATCCGTATCTTGACAGCGTTTAGGGTGAAAACAGCGTTGCTGGATCCGCAGTCTATTGTTTGTCAACAACTTGAAAAGCGAATTGACGGACAAGTGATAGTTAAGTTCCAAGTCATAGTTACCTGACATAAAAATTAACCAGGGATTGAAATACTGGGCCTACCCTCGAACCCTCTAGCAATAGAAACTTTTAATCATAATTTAATCGTATAATTTGATTGGTATTTATTTTTACAAGGATTGTAATGATTTGAATCCCGTCCCAAGAGAAATTTTTCTCTTGGCTATGAATGTTGTGATTGTCCGTAGGCGGGACCAGAATGTGTGCATGTTGCATGCACACGTGTTCGCTGGCCAGAGTCCGTGTGCCGTCCCGCCATTCCCTATTTCCCCCTATAGCCCCACGGTACCCCCCCCCTTCGTGGTAGTTGGAGTATAAAAAAAATGTAAAAAAAACTTTGAATATCAGCAGACATCCAACATACGGGTCAAACCGTTATAACAGCTAATGCCCGTTTCACGAGTATCCGTTATGGTAGAATAATAGCTGATTATCTAGTAATATTTCAAAATTTTTTATATCGACAAGTGACATTAATTCTGACAGATCCGTCAACACCAGGTAGACAGAGCCGTATTTTATTGTAGTTTTTTATACACTACAGATTCATTTTGTATTTTATTATTTCATTTAGAAAATATCCTTCGCATACAAAAAAAATGAACACTGTTCCGAGTTTTACCATATTAACTCACGATTTGTTATTGTCAACGTTACAGGCTAGTGCAAAGATGTCACTTGCTGATCAGCTGTTTACCTCAGTAGCCGTCAAAACGTAATGGATACTAGTGAAATAGGGTGTAGGAGGCGCTATCATCGCTCATCGGCGAAAGTCCATATAACCTTCAAGAAGGGTTATCTTGAAATTACCTTATATTTAGGATCGAACTTATCCAAGTTGACGCCACAAACGTACATAGGCGCATCTTTAGATGGTGCGGAGATAATCACTTTTTTCGCTCCTCCTTTTAACAGTTGTGATGCCTTCTCAATAGTAGTGAATACTCCAGATGACTCTATAATGTAGTCTACACCTGCTTGTTTCCATGGAATCTTGCTAGGTTCTTTTTCCTAGATGAATGTTGGAAAGTGTATAACCCTTCAGCATGATTCAGAAAAACTGTAACACTTTTAGCTATTTGTCAAATAGAGCCGAGAGAGTGAAGAAGAGTGTGTTTCTAATGACCGACTTTATTTAAAAGGAGCACCACAAGGTTCCATCCTTGGACCCATTTTGCTTACCTTACATTTTTCAGACTTAGCTACCGTATACGCAGCTATATCTGTCATATAATCCTTCCAGGTCGTTGTTTCACAACCATGGTCTGACGATAAATATTAAAAATCGACAATTATGACGTTCTCGTCAAAGCATAATAACTTTAGCGATGACGCAGTGAAACTTTACCTAATTGGGGAGGAACTTGTTCATAATAAATGCGCCATTGGTTCCCCAAGCCCCTTGCAGTCCCGACTTGCTCGCTCCAGTCGACTTTTTTTCTGTCCCCGATTCAGCAGAGAGCTGAATGGAAAACATTGGGAGACCGTGGAAGACATCCAAAAGAATGTTAGCACGTTCCTGGGAGACGGGAGACCTTCCCTTCGAGGAGTGTCGGGATGACTTCCACTGCTAAACACGTCTCCACAAGTGGATTCCTGCATTAGGGGAGTATTTTGAAAAATTTGAAGCACTTGTACGAGTACGATTAATTAATCTATTCCTTTTTTCAATAAAGGTTCATTACTTTCACAATGTATATTTGACGTAAAATCTGTTTAAAGAACTTCACCCGACTCTACCCGTCAAGTATGCTGATTTTTTTTTAATATCGAAGCAGCCTAAATACCGAAGCATCGCGCCTGCTATAAAGCAGCGAGGACGTCTTGTAAGTCCGATTTTTGAACTGCCTGTAAGTAGTACCGAGGAGAACCTCCTCAGACAGATTGTTCCAAAATCTCGATACCCTAGGAACAAAGGAGCAGTCATACCTTCCAGTTCTAAGTGAAAGAAGTTCGACATGGTTAGAATGGGAGGCTGCACTCTGGAGGGTCTGCGATGTAGTCGGGGCGGCAGCACATCTATAGAGGAGGTTATGTGATCATGTCCCGATCAGTCGAAATGAGCGGTTCTTTAGTAAGACTCGCTCATTCATCTAAACCGGATAGTCGTTAGGGCGCTTTTTGTTAATCAAGCAAGAATTAAACTCTACCAGATTCAGATTGGCACTCTAATTTTTCCTCATCAGCTTCGTACAAATTTACAACATCCTGTATCTTAGTAATCTGCTAACGCCACCTTTTTGGATGCAATTCCTATCCCTGGAATATTGATACGTTTCTCTAAATCACTCTGTATACGGATGTATTATGCAATCAAATGGACTTACGTCTCTCACGATGACATGAGAGGCAAGCTCACCTTATACAAAGGTAATTCCACGAACGCGGAGATCTCACTAGGGTGCCACGCTCCGTGAGAACGTAGAATAAGTGCGGAAATGGTAGTTTTACATGCCATATTGAAATTCTCCTGGGCTATCTAGGAACGGAAAGCTATGTCAAGTTTTTGTATGACAAAAATATTCAGCTGGGGATCAACATGTCGAGCCTCATATCTGTCCAATATTCCCATAAAATCTCATAAATCTTCTAATCTTAATTGAGCGATATTTATTCTACCTACTGCCGAAGCGTGTTATAAGAATTGATGAATGGAATAGTTTTATCTAAGTGTCCCCATAATGAGGTATGCATTACCTGAAATACTGATATTTTCTTTTTGTCGATAGTGAGGCACTTATCTTCTGGACATACGTTTCCATAAAACCTTCCATGTGTAGAGTCATGCTTAAAAAGATATGCGACGTATTTTGTGTCTGCGAACGGCTCATTTATGGCTACAACGTCTACGTTTTTCGCTAGAGCCGCCCTTAGAAATAATCTCCCGATTCTTCCGAAACCGTTTATACCCACTTTTGGCATTCTGTAAAAATGTTTGACAGTTATACTGACTACACTGATATACGGTATGATGAACCTGACAAGGGACGTCATTTGTAGTTAATCTGTGGCTGCATTTCTAACGTGCACCGGCTGAGGCGTCACGCAAATGCTAAGATGTAGAACTGAGACTAATTTTAAACTGAAAATGGCGGCGAATAAAACAGTAATTCGAAGTTGTTTACTGTATGAGTACAAACTTGGTACAAAAGCTGAAGCGGCGGCGCGAAAAATATGTACCGCATTCGGAGGTGATGCCGTCAGGGATCGAACAGCACAAAAGTGGTTCAAAAAATTTTCTTCGGGCGATCTCAGTTTGAGCGATGCACTGCGCTCAGGGAGATCACAAATCATGAACAACGAGGATCTTCGACAGGTTGTGGACGCAAATTTCAGGACAGCGTGCCAAGAACTTGCAGAAATGTTCAGAGTGAGTCCTGAAACTATTGGCTTGCATATTCATCAGCTAGGAAAGACATGGAAGTTTATCAAATGGGTCCCACATGAACTGACAAATGATAACAAATTAACTCGTCTTACCATGTGCTCAGCAAACATTTCACGCAACGCTAATGAACCATTGCTTAATCGGTTATTAACCTGCGACGAAAAATGGATCTTGCATTCGAATTCTAGGCGTTCGTATCATTGGTTGTCGCCTACTGATTCGGTACCACACACGCCCAAAGCTTCCTTGCACCCAAACAAGATTTTGTTGTGTGTTTGGTAGACAGCAACTGGAATTGTCCACTATAAGTTTCTGGAAAGGGGTCAAACCATCAATGCTAACTTGTATTGTGAGCAGCTCCAACGAGTACAAGCAGCACTCATTCAAAAACAGCCTTCTGTGATCAATCGGAAGAAGGTGATATTCTTGCAGGATAACGCCAAGCCTCATACCGCAAAAGTGACCCGAGAAAAAATTTCTGAACTTGCCTGGGAAACTTTACTGCACCCGCCATATTCTCCCGGCATTTCTTCCAGTAATTATCACATTTTTTTGTCTCTTTAGAACTGTATGAGACCCCTACAATTCACAACTCGAGATGGTGTAATAAGTGCAGTCCGCCAATTTTTTTACTCCAAATCCAGAGAGTTCTACAATACCGGCATACAAAAATTGGTTCCACGTTGGCAAAAGGTCATTGAATATGATGGTAGTTACTTCGACGAATAAATAGTCTCTTATTGTTTCTAAATAAAAATTTATATTTTTCTACTAAAAACCGCACGAACTCATTTGGTTACCTGATATAACTGACCATTCAACCTGGCGGGAATTAATATGGCCCAACTAGTTTTTTGTTGAGTGCTCCAGCCCACAAATTAACGCCGAACTGGCTATCACCTGACTTCCGTTGATCCTGTAATAACTTTACACCTTCTATATGTTAACTGTGAATGTCCGAAATTAGTGGATGCCGACATTTGCCGGTGGGTGTCGACAGAAACCAAATGGCTTGGTGAAAGACCGAACATTTGTAAATATCATTATAGTTTGAGTCACCGATGTATGTTGACAAAGACAAATGGGTCGCGGTGAATGTCGAAAATGACTTGTTGTAACTGGCTTTTCGGCGGTAGCGTGTTTCCGTGGAGGACAATGTTATACACGTTTTAACTGCAAAGGAAAGTGTTCCAAGGCTAAATGTAGTTATAAAGGCAAGGGACTTTTGTGCGATTCGAAGTTTCATGGTAGTTTAAGTTATTACAATAAATAACATTACGTGATACATTTAATTTTTTTTAATATTTTTATAATGTATGTACGGCTGTAATCTTGATATTATTTTAGTTACCCTTCATTATTTAAACTGTTTGTTTCAAGTACAATAATAATGTTCTTATGTTTATTAACACATTTTTTACATCTACAGGGTGTCCGGTAAAAGGAGGTCCGATAACCACATACTCTTTGGGTGTGTATTTCAGGAATCCTGATATTTAACCAATAGTTTGGATATATGCCGGATACTACAGGATTTTGGACTTTCTGACATATCTCCAACATTAGCGTGTTACCTCTCTCAGGCTACATGGAGATACATATCAATTTTTGGCTAATTTAGATTAGAAACTCGATATTAATTTTTCTTCATGGTATTTTAGAAATGTCGGTGGGCGTGCTGGCATTGCGTACGGTCGGGACGCGCCTTGTGACTTAACGGACTTGCACTCTAGAAAAAAAAACAGTGTCAACCTACTTGACACAATTTTTCTTAGCTCCGAAAGGTTCAATCCTCGGAGAGAAACATTCCCTGAATGACCTTAGGGCAGGAATGACTTCACGTGTTAGCCTAACTAGTTTTTGCTTTCAGTAATATCCCCTCTGAGACTGATACGGATACACCATTGCTAGGATATCTGTTCATAATCCAGCGAGCTGGCGCGTGTAAAGCCTTACATGGTGGTCACTCGTGACACACTTATATCCAAAAAACAGTTATTGAATTTTTACTTCTAGCGGTACAAATCAATGGACGATGTATTTACCGTATAATCCTTGTATACACACATGTAAATTATTCCGAACAGATTCAGATTGTATTAGCATAAACGTCTGTATTCCACAGGAGTATTAAATGCGGTGAAAATTCCATGTAAACCAAAGATGTAGATAACATTTGCGGCATGTCAGTTGAAGTGGGATCTGCATCTTTTGTCAACGACATAGTTATTTTTGTACATACATTCGATTCTATTTATATCCTACAATAACAATATAAAAATATTTTCTGTACCTGACTTACGGCTGATTGAGGATAGTGAGCCTGAACTAGAAAACATAGCTTTTCAGACTAATCATCTTCACCATTGAATTATCATTTCCAACAATACACAGAAAACATTTTTATACTGAAGCAAGGCCGTGCAGTGACTAAGGTTCATGTAATTGGAGACAGTTCGTTTTAACTTGAGCTAGACGGACACCAATATAGATTATAAAGTTAGTAACGTCTCAAGTAGCTTGACTCTACAATTCCTACGTAATTCTGTCATCAGTTTATAAAGGCACTAATCCCTCTCATAAAAAATCCGGCTACGGACGTGTATAACAAAATCATGTCAGTCAATGGTCCCCACAGATGTGACAACATTGCGATCTAGTCTATCGCATTAACGACAGTACCTACCACCCAACAGTATGGCAACTCTGACTATCTCGGCACTCGCAAACCCAGCACGGCGTTGCATACACAGATACACGCGTCATCGCTCAGCTATGGCTCAGCATCTGAAGCCAATAGACGCACGCTCGTTGAGTTGCCCCCCATGCATATATCAAAAATATATTCCTTATAATTCAAGTTTGCAGTGCAAAAAAATTATGTATGAAATATGGCTTTTAGATGTGTAGAATTTCCGGTGTTAGAAGTGTATTAATATAATAATAATAATTAACGTCTTTTATTTGTAATATTCTTACAGGAGGCGAGATTTAGATTATATATGTATTCTACCATCTAAAGCCCTTAACAATACGAGATGTAAAAAAAAAGAATTTGTTGAAAATTAATATACCTACCTACTAAGTGACATATAAATCCGAACACCCAGTTTAGATGGTTTTATTTTAATAAAATTTTGTATAAGTACTTAATGAAGCATAATAAGTAAATGATAAGAATTTCAAAATGATTTCACTGCTTTAAAGCCCTTTGACCTTTAATAATGTGTGGATGCACCCTGATGTGCTACGCATTCTCCAACGCGCCTAGGCATGCTTCTGATCAGGTGGTCAATGTCCTCCTGTGGTATCTCATTCCAGGCAACCACCAACTCCTCTCGAAGTGCTTCTAGAGTCTGAGGAGGACGTTGCAAATTGAGCAATCACCTACCCATCATATCCCACACGTGCTCAATTGGGGATAAGTCGGGAGATCTTGGTGGCCATGGTAACAATGTGACATCATTATGTTGAAAGAAGTCTATTGTGACTCTTGCAACATGTGGTCGGGCATTATCTTGTTGGAAAGTTGGATCTGCCAGGGTGTCAAGATAGGGTAAAAGATGGGGTTCTAGAACTTCGTGGATATAACGCTGCGCGTTCATGTTACCTCTGATGAAGATTAAAGGTGACCTGGAACCATAAGCTATAGCACCCCAAACCATAACTCCAACAGTGTGATGAACATGTCTTTCAACAAAAAACTGTGGATTCCTCCTTTCACCACGTCGCCTTCTAACCCTGGCACGACCATCGTGCATGCCTAAACAAAATCGAGACTCGTCACTAAAGACAATACTGTTCCATTCCTGATCCCAGAGTGACCGTTGTCTGCACCACTCAAGGCGATTACGTCTGTGTTCTCGAGTTAAAGGGAGGACCCAGTGTGGCCGGTATGAAAACAAGCCAAAACTTCTCATTCGTAGGTAAACACTCCGCATGCCAATAGGTCTTCCGTGTTCTGCAAACCATTCATTTGCAATGGACCTGGTAGTGGAGAAACGGTCCCTTAAGGCCAATAATCTTAGGCGGCGATCTTCACGGTCTGTTGTTCTACGGCGGCGTCCAGTGCCCCTTGCTCTTTGCGTACGGCCTTCTCGAAGCCATGCCTGACAACACCTAACCACAGTGTCTACACTTCTTTGCACTCTAACTGCTATTGCCCGAAAAGAAAGTCCAGCTTCCCGAAGTCCCACTATACGGCCCCTATCAAACTCACTAAGTTGACGGAATCGTACAGGTCTCCGTACTCTAGGCATCGTAACCGATCGTAAAGGATGTCAAGAACCAAAATCCGCCAACGTTGATTCTTTACTGCGGCTGAAATATTCATTTTTAGAGCACTAGTGAATTAAAAAAAAGCAGTATAAAAACCGGAATGTCCAACTGATAAGGCTGAAAATTTTTTCACTTGTTATTTACAGTAAGATAAATACATTCACCAACTTTTATTAAAATAAAACCATTTAAACTGGGTGTTCGGATTTATATGTCACTTAGTATTCAATAACGACAGAATAAAGTATAATCCAAGTAAAGACATAAGGAAAATATGAGGACACTTATCGGTTCGCTGCTGATCAAGTAGAACTTCTTTCACTTTTTTCTTGAATTTGGATAATGGATTGGTTTCTTTTAAACTGCGGTCTAAAGAGTTATATGATTTGATCGCATTGTAAATGTATGTATTCTGAAATAGAGATGTGCTGTGGCGTGGAATTGAAAAAGTCTC